TGTGCTACGACTTTTTTTCCGATTTCAATATGCTATATAATGTTTCTAGGGTATATATTCATTTGCGCGTGGGTTTTTCTGACTTTCATGAACCTCCCGCGATAGACAGACGGACAAGCAGGCTGGCCCTCGCTCTGTTTACTTGCATTTTCGACGTCATGAGCGGGACGTCGCATCAGTACACTGTAAAATATCCGGAACCGTGTTTATATTATCTGGAGCGACTTTTCTTTCGTATATTGCCCTCCTTGGGCTTTGTTTTTGGTGTTGCCGGAGATCGCGATATGTCGAATATCTTGCATGAGCCCTATTTATATAATCGACGTCGTCAGTCGAGACTAGAAGAGTGTAGTATGCTATAGATGGCATCCTCCGTGTGGGAAGTGGAGTCTTGGTCTTATGTCTCAAGTATATTCGACTATCACGGACAATTCAAATAACTTTCTACAATCTTCAGCTGTATGAACTCTATAGCGAGCGCTATATCATCAGGTGAAGCCAAATCAAGTATCATCATCTACTGCGCGGCCCTGAGTCGACCATCAACCGCCCGAAGAAGAACGTAGAGGGTCTCCAAAAAGGGGGCTTTTATACCAAGTTCTCGAGATTTCCGCACTGGGAAGCCCAAGATAACGTCGATCTCCATTGGCCGTCCATTTTTGCAATCCGTCTGCATGCTGCTTCCAATGCCGGGCAAGGAATTGATTTTGTCCATAAGCTGGTCAACCAGATCATCCTTGAGGGGTACACCACATCCACGGGCGATGTTGATGACCTCCTGCATCAACTGGCGTGTAAAAGGCGTCGCATCTTCTGATGACTTCAACCAAGTTTGTGTATCCACCATAGTGAGAGCAGTCAACGAGTTCCATGCTACGTTCCAAACCACCTTCCGCCATCGATGGGTCTGTATATCCTCAGCAACCTGGACCCGAGTCTTGCCACGGCGGAGGAGATCGGCAAATGTTCCAAGGCGTTGTTGCTCGACTTGGCTTTCGACCTTGGGATTGGGAAATAAGCCTATCTGCGTAGCCTCGGATTTGCCGTGCGTGACGATTCCAGGACTTGCCTGTATGACTCCTACCCACGTCTGCAGAAGTCAGATGAGACTGTGGGATTATGATGTAAAGAGAACTCACCACACAGGTTATGATTGTGTTGTTGGGGAAGTGCTTTCGGAAGGGTTCCTCGTTACCAACGCCATTCTGGATGATGACAATGGTAGTCCTGCTGTCGATGGCTGGCTGTAGCTGAGCTACTACCTCATCTTGATCGATTGCTTTGTGAGCGCATACGACATAGTCGACTGGTGAAGTGTCTGCAATCGATTTTACCACTTGTTGGCTTGTCAGCAAAATAGTTTGATTTGAGTCGTGCACATCTCGCATACCTCGGTGTGGACGAAAGTTATGCTGGCCATGATTCTCGCTATTGATATTAATTCCCTATTGGGGCCCAGATATTAATAGTAGAACAGCCTCATGTCTAGTAAGCACTCACATTTGCCTGAACAGCTTCGTAATTTGAACGTGCCACGACCGTTAGTCGCACACGGTCGGAGCGACTCAGGATGAAGGCATAGAAGGAGCCAATCCTACAGAAGTTAGTATATCGTCTTTTTTATGGAGAGGTTGAACTCACGCTCCCAAGCCGTAGACGAGGACATTAATTCGATCCGACATTTTGTAACGACCAAAAGAAAAGAATTGTTTTTTCCTGGCTTTTCTACGTTTGCGATGCCATCGCGCATACTGTCTTTAACGCCTTTTTTACCGCCTTGGTCTCACCTATTCCCCGCGGCCATGAGCGTGGATTATTTATTTTTTACTAATTTTCTGCCTGGCAAAAACCGTACTTTTCGAGGTTCCCCGCATCGAATGGCCGCGTGGGGGTGGACTTCATGGATAACCAGGGGAGATGATATAGCGTTGGCATGTCATTGAATGGGAACGAGCTGCTGAGACAGTGATCTAATGTTTAGCTCAATGTAGCCCTGAAGTTAGCTTGGGTTTCAGGGAATGCTTTCAATATCTCATTCTGACGAGGCAACTCACGCTCCCAACCTATATTCGACATTTCTAAGGAACATATGGGCTGAGTTGACTTGGCTGATTTGAATATAAAGATTTAACGGCCGACCATCAATCCTCTCATAGAACTGATACCACGGCAATCAGTTCGGACTTCTCCCGAGGCCCCCGCGTGGGATGCGTTCGTGGTGTGGGGTTGTGTCGTGAACAGCGAATATAATTCAGTCGCACTCAAATTGTTACTTCGGAATCATTCAATACACGAGGATTTCATCCAGTAACTCACCATGGCCAAGATCAAGTCCATCGAGCACTTCCGTGTCAAGCCCCGCTGGCTGTTTGTCAAAGTCACCGATGATGAGGGGCGCTTCGGTTGGGGAGAGGGCACACTGGAGGGACATTCTCTTGCAGTCGAAGGAGCACTCGATGAAATTATCACTCGCATTGTGGGATATGAAGCGGAGTATGCTTGAATCATGGTTCTTCACAGATAAAAGCTCTAACCACCTTTGACAGTGACATTCAGCACATTTGGCAGACAGTATGGCGGCTCGGGTTCTACCGGGGTGGACCGGTATTCATGTCAGCGCTATCAGGGATTGACATCGCTTTGTGGGATCTGAAGGGCCGGAAGCTGGGTGTCCCAGTCCACGAGCTCCTGGGCGGGAAGGTGCGCCAGAAGGTACAGGTTTATGCCTGGATTGGCGGTGACCGACCAAGCGATGTGGTGGCTGCAGCGTGAGTTGCAAGAAAAGAAAGGAGAGTAAAGGAGACTGAAATTCTAACAACCTCTGTCAATAGAAAAGAACGAATCGCCCAAGGCCTCAAGTGCATCAAGATGAACGCCACCGAAGATGTCAACTGGCTAGACTCGCCCGCCGTCTTACAATCCTGCGTGGAACGGGTGAAACAAGTGAAGGCTCTGGGTCTTGATGCCGGTGTGGACTTCCACGGTCGCTTGCACAAACCTATGGCTAAGCAGCTGGCTAAGGCACTGGAACCTTACCACCCTCTATTCATCGAAGAGCCTCTGCTGTCCGAACATCCCGAAGCGATCAAGCAACTTTCCGACTATACTACAATTCCTATCGCATTCGGCGAGCGCTTATACTCCAGGTGGGACGTTAAGAGATTCTTGGAGGATTCGTCGGTAGATATCCTACAGCCTGATGTTGCCCACGCAGGAGGTATCTCCGAAACCATGCGTATAGCCAACATGGCCGAAGCCTACGATGTTGCTATCGCGCCTCATTGTCCTCTAGGTCCGATCGCCTTGGCCGCCTGTCTCCAAGTGGCCGTGTCGATACCTAATTTTGTCATCCAGGAGATGTCGTTGGGTATGCACTACAATGTTGAAGCTGGAGATATTGATCTGAACAGCTACTTGGTGGATAAGACAGTCTTTGATATTACTGAGGGATATGTGGCTGCTCCTTCTAAACCGGGCTTGGGAATTGATATTGACGAAGACCTGGTACGGAAAATCAGCAAGGAGACAGAGCCTTGGCAGCCCAAGGAGTTCTATGGACTAGATGGCTCTATTCGTGAATGGTAATAATGACGATATCATATGGATGCCCCTGTTATGAAGAATATGGCGCATTCACCAGCGTGGACACAAAGCAAGATAAATATTCCAATCACTAGGATATATTATCACTTCTCATTATCACTTCTCTTCTCTCTTCTTGGCTTTGGGCGCCAATTTGTAATATTGAAAGGTAAGATGATGGCCGGATTTTGATCCGTATGACATGGCAGTTTCATCATCTCGATATACAACACGCAAGAAGTTTCCGTAACAACACGATAGCCTTAGAAAATGATGATGATAGCGTTTACATCACAACTATAATTTATTCTTCTAATGTAGGACTCCTGACTTTCCCAATTGATCCGGTGCCCGGCAAATATCTCCTCCTGTTTTGTACTCGATCACCCTATACAGAGAAAGACTAGGACAAAATGCTTTTGCAAGCTCTCTTGACATTTGCAACGCTGGGACTTGCTGCCAACGACTCTGTGGTCTCTTTGTTTATTCCAAACGCTCACTCCCAATCCTTGGTGGGTGAAGTTTTGGGCGCGGTTCGTATCAATGGGAACGATTCTCGAACATCCAACTAATTCTAAATAGCATTCAGCAACAACCACCTACAGTATCAATTGTCCGAATGGCACCAATAGCTCAGAATGTGGTATGGGCCCTGGGCTTTTTTTTACCGCAGCTCCAACGAGCGTCGAATATTTGATAAGTTCCGCAACCGACCTGTGCGTTTACTCAACTCTCAACTATTGCTGCGAGCCACAATAGATTGCTCATTGATTCAACAGATATAACCACGTTGTCTGCGATGTGACCGATCTCCCCACCGGGGCTTATACTTGCACCGACACTGTTACAGGGACAGCCGGTACGCCCGGCACCAGCACCTCAACCGTCGCTTGGGACCAGATAACTCTGTTGGCGGTTACCATAACTTCCACTGCTAGCGCGGTCGCAGCGACAGCGAATTCCACTCTAAATGGTACTACCACTGGCGTTCCATCTCCCGCTGCTGCTGCTGCTACCACCATCGCCACTACCCCCGCGGCGAGTGCGGCTGGAAGGTCAGGGCCTGGTCTCGTACTAGCCTTTGCCGCGGTTCAAGCTTTGCTGGCAATGCTATAGTGCTTGGCTCGATCCTCCATTTACTGGAATTATTTGCCTTTCAATTTCCCGGCATCCACAAAAGGGATTGCTACAAAATCCAGTTTAATAAAGCTTGATGTTACTGTTATAGTTGGTAGTTGATGACCATTTCAAGGATTCATGCAGTTGCGGAATATATATTTTTTCGGCACACAGTAAAGATATCCTCAGATATGTTGGAACCTAATTTGGCTTACGACAAGTCATGTTATGATTTGAAATCACAAATTTGATAATATGTTAAGAGAACTATCTCACCCCTTGTAAGACTCGCGCTCAAACTACTCTGCAGGCCGTGGGGGGACAATAGCCATGATCACATGCAAAACTGCAAAGACCGAGGTACGAATCGTCTTCGCCCACAAGAGGTGCCCCACGAGCTCCAGTCGATGGTGGAGACGGGACTGGATCTCCATACTGCGTACAAGTGCAGGGCCCAGCTGGACAATAACCATAAGTGCAACAAAAGGAACATAATCCCACGTAGTTATCTGATCCTGTTCCCGCAATGCAGACATTATCTCCACTGCCACCTCCTCCTCCACCACCACCCCCGCCTGGAGGAGTAGAAGGTGATGGACTGAGAATCTGAGTGACTGTAACAGTGATCACGACAGTCGATGTGGTAGTAGAGCATTGTCCAGGGGGGTCGTTGTACTTGCAGGCGGCGTTGTACTCGGGGGTGTTGTACTCGGGGGTGTTGTACTCGGAGGTGGTGTACTCGGAGGTGTTGTACTCGGTGGTATTGTTGGGGGAGAACTCGGCAACGTGCTGCTCGTACTTGAAGATGGGGGAGCTGGGGGTACTGTGCCTAATGAGGGAGTCGGTTGACATGTATGAACACGTAGGCCCTGTGTAAAGGCCGAGAGTCCATCTTGCTGGAGGGGATCATCGAATCCTGCAGGAAGGGTTCCGACTATCATCAAAGTCAGAAATGGGGTGATAACCAGTGGTAATATCTTCACATACCATAGGCGTTGAAGTTATACAAACCACACACGCAGTCATTGATAATCTCCTTCATGCTGGTCCCTGAAAGAATAGTTTGCCCATCACGAATTACCGCAAAGCTTTGTGAGCCAACTCCCATCGGGACCTCCTTTGCGCTTGCACCTGCTGGTGCGTCGTAATTATAGACAGTCCCGCCGCTATTGACCTGCACCGTAGCTGGGGATGTAAGCAACGAAACAACGAAGACAGAATCTGCCATGGACTCCCAGCCATCCGGGCGACCCATGAAATAGTTTCCACTCCCATTGTTTGCTGGTACCATGCAAGTATCCGTAGAGTCGCAGTCCACTCCACGTGGTGCAGGTCGATACCAGTACACCAGCTCATCAGATGATATATGGTTGTCGGGGGACGACTGGCCTGCTTTGAACGCAGCGATATATGGTTTTGAAATATCCAGCCATCCGTCATGAGGCCTATAGTTATCTGTTAGTTGGTTTGGTTGAAATACGGATTCCTTTGAAAGAGCGGGTGATATTCTCACATGTCATTGACCCATTTTGAAGCCCCGTCGTCAGTATGTGGTGATTTCAAAGGACCAATGTAATGAGACTCTCCATAGTCATTCCATGTCACAATCTCGATAAATCGTGGTTTCAACGCAAGGATCTCATTCCATCTGTTAAACCATAGGAGATCAGATGGGAAGTTCCAATTCTTGCTATAAGAAACCTCTGGTCCAAAATGCGTGAAAAACCACGGGGATACAGCTGCTTTAGAGTCAGAAAACCAATTTAAATTCAATGGAAATGAAACTGACGGGCAATATAAGCTTTTCCACCAAGGGCGTTGACATATTCATCATCTCCGTCGGCCACAGAAATATTGTGACCTGGAGTTGGGGCTTTGTTGTTTCCGTTGTTTGGCCAGGCCATCCAATTCAATAGCCCATCAACTGGCGAAATGTCCGTTCCAGTAGATGGATGGAAATTGGGTGCGAAAAATATCGATCTTCCCACTGCGGCTCGCAAAGCTGCAACATCCAGTCCATCGCCGGCGAATGATGAAACAAACACCTTGTCATCGACGATAAGTTGCGCAGGTTTGGTACCATACTGGGCAATCTTCTGGCCAATTTCAGTAGCCTGTTCAATATGCCACCAGTTGAAATCGAATGATAGGAAGACTTTCATGTCATTGTTGGCAGCCGATTCGTATGCCAGTTGAAGTTGTTGGTCAGTGTAGGGGTCCACGCCAATGTTCAGAGCGAATGCGTCAATTCCCAGAGACTTGGCCCGCTTCATGTCGTCGTCAAAGTCTGACGCGCTCTTTCTGTTGCTGACGATTCCAATCTTTTCGGTGATCAGTGTATGTTCAACACAAAGAAGGCACACGGAATATTTACCATAAAGTGAGCAAATACGAGTCGGTCTGTCGCCTGTCTTTTGACACGACGTATGTGGTGATTTCCCATAGATGCAGCATGAACTATGGTAGATAGCAAAGTAATCACACCCAGAATGAACCGTATCTTCGTCATTGTTTTTGAGTTCTCTTAGTTTACCTTGAGCTGCTCTTTTGTTTCTGGCATCTTCTCTCATTTTGCGTAAGGATCAGATCATTAAATATATCATTGATTCACCAAATCACTCGGAGACTTCTCGCAGCTGACCTATGAAGTTTAATCATTAGGACAATGAGTGTGATGTTTGTTCCCTATCTCTCCGAATCCAATCAATTCCATACCTACAAGGAACCATGTGGTTGTTACGGAGCTTTGGGGCAGAAAGTCCGTAGAGTTGGTGCGTTAATGTCCATACGATCAAAAATTTGCTGATAATGCGGTTTTTTTTTCGTTTCAATATGGTACAGGCCTCCGGATGTTGCAGGGTAGTAGTGTCTCGTTTATTTTATATATACATGCGTACGAAGGTATAGAAGTAAAATAGGGACATCATTTCGAAGGACGACAACATCAATGATACTTCAGCGTGTTTTTTTCCAGGCAAGTAGAGACTCGGTTACGGTCTATACTGTGCTGGTTCAAGTTCTACATTCCCGCCATCCATAATAGTACAGGTTGTAAAATAGCTCAGTAAATGTAGTGAAATTTGATTTACCTCGTCGGCCTTATATCAGTAATCTCCCGAATGTAACCTACAGATCAAACACTTCCTATTTGACGATGTTTGTATACAGACATTAACTCAAAGTCAAATTGCTAAACTATACAATCTGAACGAAAAAAAAGATTTATGATTCTGTCTACATACATACAAACATGTCCTTTGTGGAGAAAACTGTTAGCAATTACATTCCATGCAGCAGCTGACTACCCATGTAACCCACAAGGGTTTTCTCATTGGGGTTTGATGGCTCCAACGGGAAGTATGTTAGATAATGATACAACATTATATTTCATATGGAGAAACCATCAGCAGATTATAATATTTGCGGGGGTTACATTCCGTAAAGAACTGTAACTAGAAAGCCACATGGTCTTGTCACAATGCCACCTACATAGGGTAATTCCTTTCATAAGGGAAGCGTGTACAACGCTCAACTGCGTCATTGCTGCTGACGGACACTAAAAACGATCCCGGGGATATTGGGATCAATTACTTGGATGATCTCAAGTTAGTAGAAATAGACATGTGGCTTCTCATTCCCCACTGCCTAATTGGGCATTAAGCGTATGCGGAGTCGGGTGGCGCTCGGGAAGTATTTGAAGAGCACATCCAACTGCGTTTCATGTGTTGAAGTGCGTGGCTGGAGAATTGTAAAGCTCGTGACCAAGGTCTAAAGTAGATCACGTGAAATCAACACGTGAGCCGTGCGTAAAAGGTAAACAAAATGCCATTCGCAACATTTTGGATTCAGAATGCCCACAGAAATTGACGAACTGCGGCGCCTTCTTGCAGAGGAGCAACGTCTTCGAAGGGAGGATAGGGAGCGGACATCCAAAACCAGCCTACCCACATTTCTTGATGGTCTCCATAATCACCTCTTCCTCGGTCTTGGAGTTCAGCAGGATAAGACACAATCCACGCGAGGAGATCCCGCAAATGCGACCAACAAACTTCGCCCCAGAATACTCAAAGCTTGGGACTCTTTCGCGAAAGAACAAGAGGATATTTGGCGATTGCTGATGGATTCATCGCTTGTGGAAGACAGACTGTTCACTTCTCTTCATACCCTGGAAGAAACGGGAGAAAGCATTCGGCGGCAGCTCGTTGGCTCGGAACTTGACCTTAACCACTTTCTTCGCCAGACCGTTGAAGACCACGTTTCGAAAATCATCGAAGAGCTCTACAATGATCCAACACTACGACAAGTATTTGGGTTGAGAGGGTCGATCCGTTTTGAAAACCACTCCAATACACTGAGCCCTGAGCGGGAACTTGAGGAGGGAATGCAGAATATCGATATTCGTGGTCGGCGACGCTCACCGCGTTTAGCTGCGCGAGAACAAAGCGCATCAAGCAACACAGCGACGCGTGGGCCGAGAACCCCGCCTCCGGCACGAAGCAGCAGGCCTCGTGCCGATCAATTCTGCGTCTATAACATTCCCAGTCAGTCATCCGAATCGATCCATCGCATTGCAGCCTATATCAAGGAGTACAAGTCTCCACATAAGGTGACTCTGGGCCACATTTATGAAGGGCTGGAGGATATGGACATCGATAAAGTGGTTGAGCAAAAAGAAGACGAGACCCCAAAAGTTCGGTTCCATCGCGCGATTGCTGGGCTTCTCGTGCAGCCATATGACTATATGATTCGCGCTGGTACGGAAATGGGAGTCCTGAGTACTGGCGAAGCTGATATCTATCTGCGAATTGGGGAAGATTCTGGGACGCTTTTGTACCACCTCTCTGTTCCAAAGGGAGATGTTGGGGACTTCACTGGCTGGGACCCCCATTCGAGCGGCCCAAATCGTCTACATTTGACCGCGGTGGGGCAGTCTCTCGCTTTCACCCTCCAGGCGCTCAAGTTGCGGCCTCGGAACCAGGCTTGGAGGCAGCAAGCAATCAACTCTTTGCCAAGGTGGAAAGTGGTTGTCGCAGATATTCTGGACAGTATCCCAGATGAGGAGGTACCGTCCTCCGAATATCGCCCTCCACGGACGAATGGTTTTCTTCGAACGTCTCCGATACAACTACGTCGCAAGCGACACAAACCGATCATTAGTAGTTGCCAGTCAATAGACGCACAAGGGAATTCAGACGACGACCAACCTGACCCCCATACGCCGAGCCGGGATCCGCGCATCTATCGCAACATCGAACGGAGGCATCCACCGCCGACCCATCCAACATCTACGCCAGCTACACAAGGATCATCAGGAGAAAACAACCGGCGCTACTGCACGTTAAAGTGTCTACGCGGATTGCTCTATGGGGATGAGCTAGATCAGGCTTGCCCCAATTTCCTTGATCATGGCACAACGCGTCACGTCATAAACGCAAAATCTTTCATCAAGCTGTTGCGGCATCAATTATCTAAGACTGTCAATGCCGATTGTGAAGTACTGGGTATACACGGTTCTCGTGGTGCTCTTTTAAAAGTTACGTTATCCTCGCACGGATACACTGTGCCTGCAAAATGCACCGTTCCAGAGTTCTCGGAACACCTTCGGCATGAAGCTGCTGTATATGACCAGCTACGTCCAATCCAAGGCATATATATCCCTTTCTATCTTGGAAGTATCGACTTGGCCCATCCGTACAGCTACGACGGTATCGCATATCTTGAACATATGATGTTACTGAGTCCGGGTGGACAGCCTCTCGACCTGGCTCTCAGGGAAATGAGTCAAGATTGCTTAATTGCCAAGATGAAAGAATCGCTCTCAGAGATGCACCGTCTGAATGTTCTTCATAGGGATCCAGCCCCGCGGAATTGGTTGTACAATCCAGAAAGCAAAAAGGTGGTATTTTTCGACTTTGAAAGGGCCGAGATCATCGATTTACGGCCCATCTTGGGGATGCTTTCACCAAATCGCAAACGAAAACTGATGCCACATGATGTGCTTGATAAAAAGCTACCTTCAGGTTTTGCGGGAGAAATAAACAAAGCAGTGCAGGAGTTGCGATGTTGGAATACACGAGCGAGGTTCCAATGAACCGACTTGCAAGGTGTCCAACAACAGCGCACCTTATAAATACATGTCAATCATGTCTGAACTCGGTGGTAACTACCATCTATCCCTATGTCAACTATTCATTCATGGAGTTGAGCTTGATAGCCGTTAGATTGGTAAAATATACTGGAAATAAAAAATAATTAAAGCTCTCATTCGATGACTAGTTACAATTGCGCTGGATCAAATCCAGCGCGTGGTAGGATTGAATCGTGGGACTTTCAACTGTCGTTTCCAGACCTGCTCAGCCTGGGCTTCTCGAATTCTAGATTGCTCTGTAGCAACACGAAGTTTGCTGATAGCTTGAAGCACCCGTTTATTGCCAAGAGGTTTTGCCTCTGGTTCGAAGTGATACTGCAACGTCAAATCTTGTGAAACTTCAGTTATGGCCATTGACAAAAAACCAAATTTTGGAAACAAGAGCGGTAGAACTCGTTCTCGTCCTCCTGTAGGTCCCGTTGACAAATTCGCTCGTTCCTCAGCTCTTGAAGTGACAAGCAGTTTCGTGACTTGGAGCATTTCAGACGGGTTCGAGTTGTCTCCAATGCCATGGTAGAGCCTTTAGCTAACGCAATCTGATGGTCCAGAGAATTTATTTCTGGCAAATCGTGACGTATCGGAAGCATCGTCGGCATTGAGTTCCATGGCAAAACGTTTTTTGGACACTCTGTCGAACGGCTGTAGATGCTTGAGGAATCATCCGTAGGTAGGTGCTGCTCAGTCGCCTTCGTAAACATTTTCAGATGAAGTAGCAGGCCGCATACCTTTTCATACAACACAGTCAGCCTTATATGTGTAACCAGAGCGTGCGAATGGTCACAAATCTGAGTGGTGCTGCTTTTTGCGGCGATTGTTGAGACCCTCAAAATTCTCACCCTGCCTAATTTGCCTAATTCGGGTTGGAAAGCATGGAGTCTTCTTCCAAAAGTGGTCGAATTAGGTGTCCAGTCACACCACACGGTGGGAGGTAGCGAGGGCTGGCTCAAGCGCGAGATAGCCTTCGCATTGCAGTACCCGAGCGGCAACCAATTAGAGATGTATGGTCATGGCTGCCACGCTTCGGAACTAGCTTGATTCTGACCTATCGAGCCTAGCATGCCTGTTTGTGTTTATGGGTATCCAACCCCGTTAGCATTGAAAGTTGCGGTTACACAAACGATTGTCGCCGTAGAACAGAACCAGCTTTGGAGACTCTACCAACTAACGGTGGAGAGCGACTGGGTTCGTTTCCGAAGCCTCATATACATTAACCGCAAACTTTCAGACTTCTCGCCGACAAGAGATGCGATCACCCAGATATGGCAGCGATCAATATCTGGACGGCCAACTCCCATATTCCAGTATTTTCAGTCTACATTCCGCTCTTACCGGTGTACACGCCTAATGAAGCATCGGCGGGGATGACATTATCGGCCTAACTACCCCTGTCCAGTTACTATTGAACACTATCGAAATCAAGACAGATAAATAATTCTTTCTTTCTTGGATACAGGATCGGGTTTTTTTAATGCATGGCTTTCAGCTTCCCCTCTTGGATCCACAAGCAACACACCTCATTAATAGGTCAAAAGAGCCACACCGATAGTACAAAACAATAATCAACATTGACATGGCCCTAGGGGTTTCTAATCACATGAACATCTTGAACCAGCCAGCACATAACAATGGGATAGAATGGATATAAATTCATAGCCGCCGCTTCTTATGTTCCAAGGCAGGTTCTATGCATTGAACGTGGCGTTTGATCTGTGGGGGGCAGTAGCAATTCCTTTTTGGAGGCCAGGCAGCAATTAATGGTCGGCACGACCAAAATGGGAATTTGCTTGTTGGTCTTCGAGGAGCTCCTGCAACGATTTTGGAAAGCCGCCAATTCTTTGGAAGAACGAAGAGCCAGCAATCCCAATTGATATCATTTCTTCAAGACCATTGACAGACAATTTTATTTTTTTGCGATAGTATCCACATACATGGCAACCGTCGTCTTTACCGACATCTCCAAGATGATTGCTGCGGCCTGTTTGGAACCTTGCTCCTGGAAATTCGACCATAACATGCTTCACCAGCTCCCTGGCATATGATCGGGAACACAGGATCGACCCTTGACAGAAGTATACCCCTTGTCTTTTGATTGGCAGCTCATCAAGTTCAAAGAAGAAAAAGGCAGATGCTAAGATAGCTCTCACTAGCTCATCCGGAACGGCGAAATTCATTTCAGATATCTCCGCTAGTCTGCTCACGTCGTCCAACCGAGGAAGCGGTTGAGATAGCTCGTGATTGAGCCGAAAAACATTTGATCTTTTGTCATCCGGCAAAAAAATGAGTGCCTCACGGTATCCTTGCTCACCATCCATGGATGGGGAAGACATTGTGGTTCGAATCATGCGAGGGATGGCACTATCTCGCAGTAAACTCCGGGCAGTATGAACTGGTTGAGTTATAGAGGAAGATGACCCTGTTCCCACTGATAACAGGAGATCATGCGTTTTAGCTGAGGGCCAGATGACCGCTAGCTCTTTGAGTGCAATTGCCAAAGGATTGTTGGCACGAACTCCACCATCCTGCAAGAATCCAAACCCTGGAAGGAGTTTCGTTCGAAAGAAGCTGCACGATATTAGCCCTCGTTATGTTGAAAGGGGTACCGGGACACTCATAAGGGAGCGGCGACGGTGCACTCAGCTCTGTGAACAATGGTCGTCAGCGAGTCCGGTCACGCGTTTATACACATGGCAGTACTTTAGATGATGGGCTGATGATAATTCAAAGCTACTCACGCGTCCTGTACGAGGGGATTCTCATCCTTCGTCCGGGGAGTTAAGAATTGGTATGCCGCATTCACATCGCGCTGACCCGTCCCCCGATAGTTTGCCAAAACGCACGCTTTCCCATCAGATATACGGCTTGTGATGATGGCCACTCGACAGCCGGTCGAGCCCGTCGTCGTGACATCAAACATTCGACGTTGGGGGCCGACCACTTTCTACAGGGTATTCTCTAGGTTGCCTAAGTTGTACTAGCAGTCAGCTAAAAGGCCTGCCAAGCATTTAATCCATGTAATATTGCGAGGTATTGTGGATTTTGGTACACATTTAGGAGACGGTCTAAAAATCATCCGAGCAAAAGCGGGAAATTTAGCGCAACTCTCCTCTGCGGATACTTCATTCAGGGTTATATCTATCGCTGAAAGTGCCCCTGCTCTGAATATCAGATATTTTAACCAAGGAATACATTCTTTAGCAATAACCGAGTATATACCAACACTTGTCCCAACACATAAATCAGATATTTATACTATCGATATGCCTCTAAGCCGTCTTTCCAACGCTCGTAGGAGCCCTAGTTGAATGACACCACGAACTCCTCCCCCATCTAGGCTTATCACAATTGGTCGCTTGGTTGGTGGAAGTTGGCGAACTGTGAGTTAGAGTAAGTTACCACAGATAGGGCATTCGGATAAGTCGATATAGTATTCTGCATGGGTACTCGCATCTCCAAACAGTATAACGCAAGTGTCACAGATTGCATGTCTGTAAGGCAGCATATGCTCTGGCGGTCGACACATGCAAGAAAAGCAAGTTGTCGTCGACTGCAAGCCTCCCCACGTATGATAGAACCGTACCAGCGACTCCCGACAGATGGCTGCTGAAGTCATCTTCGGTCCCAATTGAGTGAAGCTCTCGACGAATTGATCTGAAATGTTTACACAATATGCTTCCGAATTTTCCTCATCCCAGGCATCCCGACAATGATCCCGATAAAGGGCATCGAAAATCATCTCTGGTTGAAAGACTATATTGGTCAGCCCCGTTGGGGAAAGATTTTAGAAAGACTCATGGAGGGGGAGTAGTCTTGTAAATATAGAAATTGCTTACGGTGCATCCCAGGCGGATAGGCGTCCAGTAGCAGAGCCGAAGCGATAAATTTATAGAGCTCACTCTCATGGCATGCAGAATTTGCAATTTGCTTTTGTAACTCGACAAAGCAATTCACCATTGCTTTATTTCTTATATAACCGCCTGGTGCCACTGAAAGACAGTCAAGGTTAATTGGGTTTTGTCCTTTCATTTGAAGTTAAAGAGTTCGGTCCCAGAGTGCATTAAGATGCACGGCTGAGATTGAGAGGCACTTTTCTTTCTGTATCTTTCGTATTTCTTGAATTTCATCAAGAATAAGCCTCCGTAATGGCTCAAAGACAACGGTGGGGGATAATTCTGATCTGTCTCGGAGATCCAGTATTGTGACTTTGTGTCGCCCCATGTATACCTCGGGAGTATCAAAGTCTTCATCAGTGTCATGCATTTTAAGCGGAAAGTCCCCTGACAGGATAATTATCACACGCATTAAGTTGGGTATTTTTTGAGTTCCGATGGTGCTTCTAGCAGTTGTTGTACATCCTGCATCTCAGAGATGGTATTAACAAAAAGACAAAGAACTTGGGTCCACGGTAAGATCTTTTGTCTAATCACGTCTTACTCCCCAAGGGAAATAGAATATCTTCTATGTTTGTCTCCAGATCATCTATTCAAGCAAGTGTCACCCACCCCGGCTTGGCTGAAAGGGTTACTCTCGGCAAAAAGGATAGGATGTTCAGTGTGGGCGGTAGTAGTACTGAGATGAATACGAATGAGTCCAGTCGGTCCCTTGCGTGTGACATTGTTGTGAGGAAACAAGGCTTGAAGGGCCTTGATCCGATTTCCATTGCCAGCAAAATAGATAAATGAAGGGTATTGCGAGTTGGGATGGCTCATTCCCTGGATAATTTCTTCGAATCGCCCGGTGTCTACCAAGGACCTGCCTGTAACATCTGAGAGCAGGTCTAGCCACGCCGCCATTGTAAATCCAAGCACGTCTTGTAAGCGAAACAACGGATATCGTGTACTTTTATATCTAAGCCTACTTAGGAAATGGCCTGTCATCAAATACTTGATACTATAGCAACTATAAACTCTTTGACCCTCACATTTCTCGTCGATTATGTCAAACAATTGATGCCCAATAATTAATATTGAGTGCGAATCTCTCATATCATCTACATGGGACAGTCTGGTGTTGTAGATTCGGCCAGCAACATTATTCTTGATGATCCTCTATCAAAAACTCCACTCGATTCGATTGTATTATGATTCGGTGAATTGATAAATTCGAAACTACAAGGACACCTCCAATATTTGAAATTTTACTCTAGTAATGGGTTAATTGGATCTGGCCCCCACCTTTGTGAGAAACCCTAGGCTTAGCAAGGGCCAATATGAAAATGCGGAGCAGTTAATCCAGAACAGGAAGATTATAAAGCCAATATAGATATATTACATCTCCTCTTTCTCTTTTTAATATGTTGTAACCCTTTACGCATCGAAACATATCGAGGGACATGCAGTTTACGATACCAGAGGTTGTGAGAAGGCGAACGGGGCATACTCAGTCTGATTCCACTGAAAATATACAACGCGCAGATACCTCCGCCACCCAAAGCCATGTCTTATAGAATTGCTCAATTTTGGTGGGGGCTGACTTTGCCCGGATCCGCTGCTTATGTTAGTATCCAGGTCATTGGCGTTCTGACCATTGACGTTCTGACCATTCGTACTGACAAACAATTCGTTTTCCTCGCTATTCAATTCTTGCTTTATCGGATCTGGACTATAACGCTCGCTGTCCATTGCCGTCAGGTTCCTCACTAGCCTCCGGTCCAGATGGGTAGTAGGACTCCGCGCATCTAGACCACTTTCGAAATTTGGAAATGGTTCATTTGTGCGCTCTCGCTTTAGTGTCCGATCCTTTTCCGCTTTGAAGGTATCCAGCGGACACGGACTGGGTGAACGATCAGGGCTGTCTCTTCCATTTAGGCCTTGCCAGATATTGTAGCGTAGTTCCTGCTTATCCCAGGCCTCCGATATCTTTTGTGCTGCCGTAGCCTGATCCGTCAAGGCGATGAGATCTGCGTTGGTAATCCAGCAGGTGTTCCTTGTCAATAACTTTTGATCAGCCTCACTGATGTCTTGCCACTTGATTTTGACATATGTTACGGGGGCTGTTTTGGATCCGGGTTTCCTTTCTTTGATTGCCACTCCAACAATACCGGCAACGTTGTTCCTGGTATACCGCCTATGCTTTTCTCCATCTTGACCTCGGTATGTAATGTGGGAAATTCGAGTCTCGGGATCTGATACTTTTTGCAGGCCTGCAGTGTTGTATCCGTTTGCGGTTTGGACTCGGTATTTTGCCGCTTTGTAGGGCCCGTATCGAACCAGCAATACGCGTGATCGTCCTAGGCGGCTCCAGGCGTCTGGCTCTCCATCTTGATCCTGACCAATTGACAGCGTCTTCAGATCATTTAGGACCTCGCCATATTCATCGTCGTCAACGCCGATTGGCGCTGGACCACCGGGATTCATTCCGTTGTTGGCTATTCTCGGATTGGGCGGTTCGGATAGGTCCCTTTCAGGCTCACTGTATTCCATATCCGTGTCCGTTTTATTTGGTTCAACTGGAGCGGCTTCATTCAAGCCATCCGTGGTTGAATGGCTGTCTTGTGGACTGTATTGGGGCTTTGACTGTGGCTGGACCTCCTGGCTTTGATCGGAAGCATGCGCATCTGCTTTTCCGTTGGACTTTGGCTGGACGTACGAGACTTGTTCATTTACAGCCTTGGTCTTAGCGGGAGAACTTTCAGCTGCCTTTTGAAGGTTTTGTCCGATAGATTCCTTGGATGACTGGCTTTTCGTATTGTGTTTTTTTGTGACTCCTTTGCCTTCTAGATTAGAGGAAGACATGGATTAAACTACCTGAGAATATTCTCTAGAACAGATACCTTTGAGATGGATGGAAGAGCTTCCCTTATTTATAGTTTCTCGGGTGTATGGGAGACTATCCTCCTTTATTCTCCTTCCCCTAAAAACCGCTGCCTTACAGGCAGTGCAAAAAATGTTGGAGCAAGGTGGATTCCGCTTTGTCCAACATTGGCTACCCCATCAGTGTCATTCTTTCAGTAGGATTGTGGAGAGTCAATGGAACTGCACAAACTCTTCCCGTTTCTGGACCAACATAAAGGAAATGTTCGTTCTAAAGTGTTTCACAAGATATTGACTAAGCTTTATAACCCGAGACACACGGTAACGAATATTCGTCATGCTGCAGTTCACAGAATTGTTCAAGATAGCCAATCCTTCCTTATAATGCTTCAGGCCGCTGTTGCTTTCGCACGCTGCATCGGCGATGATGAGTGTACACAGCGGCTTGGGTGCCTCTGCAGTTCTTTGAATACTTCTAGCCAAGATGAATGAGCGCTCACATCATCTTCAAGAGAGAATTAGAATTCAGATTCGCCTATGTCAGTCCCGTCCACAAGGACTGATGCAACGGCGTGCACTTCTTCCAGAGGCAGTCAAAAGGATGACAGAACAAAATGAACATATGTTTGACTTGCAGGTACAAGAATTTGTGAGGAAGAACCTATTCTTTGTTCAAGCCAGCCACAGACCAGTGAGGAATTTCTCTCCCCGATGAATGGTTTTTATGTTCTGGTCATACAATATGCAGCCATAATAAAATCCCATAGCCGATCAGTACAAGACATCCTGTGGGATAAAAGTAGTTAATTTCAGAGGGGCGAGGCGCCAATAATGTAAAATAAGGAAGAAACATGTTAATTGTGGAGGGGTATAGGGTTTTTGTGCCATGCTTGGGAGTTTGCCGTCTCTAGAATTGTGTCATTGTGCTCCAGGGATATCCTCAAGATATACGACATTAATCCGTAGCGAGCGTGCAAATACAATCGCCTACCAAAACGCTTGGTGTCAATATTGACGGTGGATCTTTCTACCTTAACCTTTTTTTACCTTTTGATGCCTGATATTTTTGACTTCTATACTACTTATAAGATAGAATCCTGTACTCTGTTCATTTGAAAACATTGAAATTTGAGTAGAACGTTACTGACCAAAAAATAGAGACCGATTGAACCATAAAATCAGCCTTGTGGGGTGCCGCGCGGCATATGCGTGTGCAGTTCAACCAAGCCTCCTGCACCGGCTGTCCACTGGCTGATTCCACAACGCTTGGTACAAAAATAAACACTAAGCCATGGCAGCGACCATAACTGGAGACTAGATTGATAGGGAAATTGTCTTACGCGTGTGTCTAGTTATGCCGCGTGGCCTTTTTTTCAAGACTATCAAATGCCAAAGCAAGTCTTAAATCATTCCGATCCTTTTTCGGTGATGTTCATTCTTTCTTTGTCTACTCCGTACTGTTTTCTCGATTGAAGAACCATGCATATTCTATTATTTGCACTTTGCACAGTGCTGTGCTCTCGGGTGCTCGGTCACCCCTATGCCTCTGAAACCACACCATGGATCTCAGCCACAGCGACGTCCGTTGATTTATGGGAAGACCCAGAGCCGAGTGAGGTAGCTCATCTCTACGGGAGACGTAGATATGGCGAGATTCTTCGGGCCAGAGACACCACTGCGACAACCGATTCTACTACATCCACAGATACCACAACCGATACAACCACATCTACGACATCTACGACCGCAAGTTCCACATCCTCAACATCTACCTCTACATCATCAACATCTACATCTACAACATCTACAACATCTACAACCACATCTGCCAGCTCGACCACCAGTTCGACTACCAGTTCGAGTACCAGTTCAAGTACCAGCAGCTCCTCGGCTACGACCAGCAGCACCTCATCAACCACAAGTGCATCAACGACAACTAGCAGCGCTTCGACTACGACAAGTACTACAACTTCAACCGCGAAGAGTAGTGCCGCAGCGGCACTGGACAGTGAGTCTTCAAGCCCACTAGGCGCAAGATCCCCATCATACTAACAATACAGAATGGAACCGCAGGGGTAACATAACAGGAATTATATTTGGCGTTTGTATGATCTCGCTGTTTAGCGGCGTCAGTCTGTTTTATTGTATACGCCAGAGAGCAAAGACACGACGAATCGCGGCTCGGAAGCTGTTGCATTCCACTCCGTCGTACTCGAAGTTACCCCTTGTGACCACGAAAGGAAAATCCACCACCAACGTTGAGGTTGACCGCTCCTCCATAATGTTCACCAGCCAGCCGGAGACGGAATACTTTCGAGCGCGAAGCGCACCGTCACTTTCAAACTACCACAGCCACACCACCTCCACAACATCTCGGACTACGGCGTCTACTAGAGATTACAGACCGCAAGCACACACCAATGAACAGACTACACCTTCGGTTTGAGATGTCAGATTTCTTTTGAGCGTTCACATTGCTTCTGGGGTTGGGGTGTTCTTGGTCGATTTGTTAAAAGCATCATCATGTATTTGTTAGAATTTGAGAATAGAGTACAAATTGCACTGGTTTAAAATTCATGCAAACGCTACTTGGATTCATGAGGCCTGGAGTAGCAATACTAGCAGTGAGTGCATGAATAATTAAAAGAAGGTCTTTAGTTACTTGTTATGTCACAGAGCCGAATTCCAAAGTTGAGGAATAGATACAGTCTGATGCCTGATTTTTATGGTTTCATAGCCTAATTGGGACGAGCGAGACGACAGTTCACCCAACCTGTGTGCCGTTTTTTCGCCCAACCGGTGGAGATCTCACGTGATTTAAGTGGGCCACCGGTTAGGTGAACTGCCCCCCTGGAGACGAGCTCTCACCAATTTTAGACCGCCTTCGACACCGCTTAATACCATGTTTTGTAAGGTTTTAACACCCATTCTGCTACCGCCTTCTGAATTTGTAATACCGCTCGTTCTCCCTCATTTTTAATTGGCGAATATTTGACCGGCAGAATTAGGGTGCTCCGTATGTTGTAGTTAAACCGCGAAATTGATTCTATTCCCACCCCCCGTTGAGGTTATACCGACTGTATAGACCCCTTATTTCTCTTAATTTTAGAGCTACCTGACCGTACAAATTGCCCTTGTGCGAATGGGATCGGAAATTAATCACTTTACTAATATTGATGTCTAAAGATGCATGGATTTTACTGGCTTTTATACGGTCGAAAATGCCTTGTCGTCAACGCTTAAGAGCGACCAAAAATATGATTTTAGGGGGTGTAAATAGTTTCATGTTTCAAACCTTCGTATAAATCTGCAAGATGTAAATCTTACCTTCGAAACGATCGAGCGAATATCACATGTGACTTGTCAAACTAATATTCTATGAAAAGATCAGGATGGTTCAAACTCGTTTCCTCATAGCTCCAACAAACTGTCTTGTTACTATTTGAGTTCGGCTTCGATGATGCCTTGCCCATCGCCAGGAGGTGCCCAGAACTTGATAACCTGGAAACCAGCTGCTCCAAGCAAGCGAGTCCAATGAGACTGGGAGCGCTCCATGCTATTACAGAAAATCATCATTTCCCAATCCCACACCGCCGGTAGCATAACACCGTCGCGATCTGCCAGCACAAACTCTTCGATGATCAGTTTTGAATAACCCTGCTTCATTGCTCCAGCCAGCTGAGTAAGAATGATATGATTCTCCTCGTCAGACCAGTCGTGGAGAATAAACTTCATATAATAAATACGGGCACCTGGAACTCATGTCAATAATTGTCCAAATCGTGCATCAGAGTACGAGACTCACCATGAATCGGCTGTGGCTTAAACAGGTCAAACGGTTGTTTTTCAATACGCTCTGCATCTACGGTGCTCTCTTCCAAAACATGTGGCAAATCTTCGAGCACCAAGCGCCCTCGCACATGCGGATACCGTGCCATGAATGCTGCGAGGTCATGGCCTCGGCCGCATGCGACATCAACCATAAGCGTCTCCGCATCAGGATGAGCGCCACATAGAAGACGCTCTTCCACCGGGAACCATTCAAGCCAACTAGGCCGGGCGCCGCGGTCACCCTCCATGAAGGTATTGCAAGAATCAAGATTCTCCGGATGTTTCGGCAACCAAGTCCAAAGACTCTCGTCAATCTTCTCGGCAAATTGTAGTGGGCCTGTGGTAGCGCCCTCTGGGTTCCGGTAGTCCTGTCGGCGGAGGAACTCGGGGACTTTGGCAAGAGTAGGCATGCCGACATCAAATATAAATTTGGTTACCGAAATACTGAGTCGGTCAGTCAGCTGGCGTGTCATTGTATTCGCAACGTAGACGCGCGTGTCATATTCGCCAACATAGCCGATTCCAACTAAGATACGCAAGACTCGTTCTATACAGAAGGTTCATCGTCATTCACCCATGCAAAATAGAAAAGCCGCAGACAAGGACATACCAACTAGAATTGGACTCGCATTTTTCACGGCTGCCAGCTCATCGAGCGACACCGGCCGATTATGCTCCGTCAGCGTGGTGAATATACCCATGTCGATGGCAATGTGCACACACATGGCATGAGTAGGCTAGACCAAGTTAGCACAACTATCATCATCACCCTGTATGGTACAATATTTACAGAATAGGCCAGATGATAGACCGAATCCTGCGGCTTCTGTAGTGCATTCACCAGATTCTGCGCTGCCTTCAGGGCAGCCACGCGATCTGTCTCTTCGTGTTGGCTTCGGAAAGCTCCCAGTGACTGCTTCAATTGGTGCTGCAGCTGGTCGAATGACTCGTTTGACACAGCGGTTGCCATCTTCAGTGTTATGGATAGAGATATAGCTATAAGAGGATTAGTTGTAACTTGACAAAGGTGTATAATAGCAGATGAAAAGGAAAACCAGGTTATCGAGTTTGCAATAATCCCTGGATTCTTTGGTCCGTTTTTTCCCGCTTTTTGGGTGCTTTTTCGAGTCAAGTTTATAACTGACACGGTAGATAAATTGGGCTGTGGTGTGCTTGCTTGGCTCATGAGATTCGAGGTTCTAGCCCCAAGCATCCAAGCGTAGTGCCATACGGCGTCTAGACGATCGTTTCAAGTCGGAAAGGATTTTCGGACGTTGTATCCACGAGTTTGCCGCTTATTATTTTTCTTTCTCTACGGAGTTGAATTTGGAGCCAACGCTATGAGGGTGAAAAGTGCATCTCGGTCACCTTTGTGCAATGGCGTTGTACAATAAAGGTGATATTTCAGATATGGGAATAAAGACAACAACGCCTTGTTCACCACATTTGACATCAGAAAGGATTGTGTGGAGCACGCTAAGTCGATGACCCCGTCCCGGACCGCACTCCCCGGCCCGCTAATATTATTTCAAGCCAGTAGGATTTCCTCACTGGGTTGGCTGTGAAAAGACGGCTTGATGACAGGGATGTACTCATCAGGATGTCACAATAGTATCCTGTTGTACGCCAAAGTACTCTGTAGGATTTTGCTAATATGAAATGGATGAATAAGGGGTATGCGTTGCGATCATCGTGGTCGCTATACGAGGTTTTCCGTCCGCTTTTAAGGCCTTTGAGTGGTGATGACCCCGGCAGCAAAGTTGACAAAATATGATGAGCGATCCCGGTGTCAGTATCACGGCAGTCTCCTGGTGTTTTGGTGGTGTCGCCGTGGTCGTTGTCAGTCTGCGGTTATACACACGTGTGGCTCTGAGGCGTGCTGGGTGGGATGACTTCTTTATCGCTTTGTCACTGGCAAATGCTCTGGTATGCTCCTCATTGGTCCAGGTCGCCATTTCATACGGATTAGGACGCCATTTGAGCGACATTCCAGATGGCAATCGGCAAATTCAGGCGATCAAGTACACAGTCATAGCACCCAACTTCTCTGTTGTCAGCACTACAACTGGTAAGATGAGTGTGACCATTTTCCTGCTCCGGCTTATGGGACAATCTGCATCCGCAGCGCGCCGATGGTTCTTATATATCATGATGGCGGTGTCAGTAGCGTGGAATGTGTTAGCTATCGTGATCATCATTGGATTCTGCCGACCCCAAGAGCGTATCTGGAATCCGAAGGTGGATGGCTCCTGCTTCAGCCTCAACTTTCAGTTGGTTGCCGGAACATCCCAGGCAGCCTTCAATGCATTCAACGATCTGGCCCTCGCCGTTTTCCCGGCTTATATCTTTTGGCACGTCCAGCTCGCAATTAAGATGAAGGTCGCGATCATCTCAGTCATGGGAGCTGGTATTTTGTATCTCACTCCTTTCATCATACCCCGGGAGGCTCAAGCTGACTTATTAGTGCGGCGGCGGCAATGCTGGTCAAATGGGTTTTGCTCAAGAACCTACCTGCCCATTCTGACATTACCTGTATGTATTCCTCGACTCATGTTTCACCGAGTACACCGACTAATCGTATATAGGGTCGTGGGCCGACATTACTATGTGGTATACGTAAGTCATACCCCCAAGGATTTTCTCTGAATTGTTGACAGAAGTTGATAAAATCTAGGATTGAGGTAAGTTCTCATGTACTGTCCAAGCAACCCTAGCTCATGAAGATAATTAGATGTACGTTATTATCATCTGCTCGTCATTGCCTACCCTCCGACAGTCCTACGCAGCCGTACTGCAGCGCTCCCGCAAGAGTTCGGCGTACACGCACACAGAGTCGGCTCATCGACAGAAGCCAATCCCTCTTGTCCGTCTTGTTCCAGACGCTTCGTTGTTTGCCTCCCATATCGAGCCTGAAGTCAACCGACATGATAGTCGTCATTCGAGTCAGGAGAAGATTTTGGAGCACATCGGAATACAGAAGACGACGGAGATCCATGTGTTTCAGGAGCCTCGAATGGGGGATGAGGGAAACCCACATTTCCCGCAACCAAATCCCTTCCGGGGCTCTTGAAAAAGGCTCATTTGTAAGAAATTATCTTGCATGGTTTACCTAAGTAGCCTCCCAAAATTCGTTGTCGGAAGAATTTGGTGCGAAGGTGTATAGGCGCTAGTTAAATTACAACGACTGAGCACCCTTCCAAGTTTGGAAGTTCAACATCCACAAAATGAAGTTCTTCGCATGACACCACTCATCCCACAAGAGTTCAATGATGCAATTCTTTGAGGATCATTTATATTTCGGAGATGACCACGAAGTTAAAACAATGGGCAACAACTTAGAAACCAGCTTTTCTTCTCTTCAGTTTCCTCCGATCCCGTTTTCTCATCACCGTGGCCCATGGAATCCTTCGGGACACTAGGATCATCAAGGTAGCTCTGGCGGAATACTCCGATCGACTGAATTTTCAGGCTAAAGTCACCTTGTTGTGCCCCAAAGAAACTATATAATTAGCATCTATGTTTTGCCCTCAGTTGACATAAAACTCACCTTCGAATCATGATCCGGAACCTTTTTATACACGACAAGTCCAACGGCCTAGCATCTTCTACCGGCTTGCCTCGATATGTCGGTTTCAGATCCTTCCATGAGATACGCACTTCACGCCCTGTGTCACTCTCGCAGAAATCATATTCCCAGACAAGAGCACTTTGTTCACGACCATCTGGCCTCTGCTGTGGTATTTCGTCTGTCAGGGAGAAAGTGTAAAGTTTCCCGTCCGATGGACCAACGTGTAGCTCAACACCATCGTGTCCGGTGAGGTCCCAAACTTGTTCGTCTCCGACCGTGCGTTGTGAAGCAAACCCGGCGCCGCCGAGTGTCTCAATGTCGAGGTTTCCGTGAAAAAGTACCCCTTCCGGGGTAGGATCGAGATTTGACACAGATGATCCACCACGGACGCGGTCATCGGAGGAGGTCCAGCGATTGAGGTCCCAATCTGGCCCGAAAATTATTTGGTTATTGGTAGGGAACTCCATCGTAAACTGAAAGATATTGAGAGGAGACCAGTTCGCAGGTGTTAGCTAGATTGTGGGATTCTCGCGAACTGCGGAGTGCCCACTGCCCAGTGCAATCCGATCGATCTATGGATCGGCGGGTTGATTGACAGGGTGACGTCATTTATAGTTGAACGAAGGAACCCTTGCGGATTGACAAATAACTAACTAACTAGAGCTGTGTTCGATCTGATCTTCAAAATAAGATTGGGTATATTGGCTTTTCACATGAATTCATATCAGACATCATAAGGTTTCTTTTCAACATCAAAAACTGGCGAGCATGCCAATTTACTTCTCTCTCGCAGCCATGGACCGTATACCTTGAACAGAACAGGAATAGGAATCATCACGACTGCGATACATCCAAGCATTGTGCCTGCCCATTGCACTCCTAGGTTCTCCATCATTTGTCGGGAGAAAAGTGGGAACGAGCAGCCAATAGCTGAGCGTAAGATTGTGTTCGCGGCAATAGTGGATGCAGCCCTGTCAATTGTGTTAGTTACTAGTTTTAGCAGGAGAAACATGGTTACATACAACGAAGGATAGCAGTCAACGATATAGTTGAAACACTGCAAGAAGATCAAAAAGATCCCCGCTCCGGTGAGAAGTCCTGAAGCTACAGGGGCCATCCAGTGGATGGATGAAGTGTATCCGGTCCAGCCGAACCTATTAAGCATTAGCTTAGAACATCAAATATTGTTGAGGATTTCAAGAAGGGTACTCACCAAAACATTCCTCCTGCAAAAGACACAGCTCCTATAATCGCTGCCGGAAGGCGCCATTCGGGTATAGGCTTATCACCGTTTGCCGCCAGCTTCGTCTTATATGAACTCTGTATCATGAGGATATAAACGCCGCCAAGAAGTTCGCCGATGATAATGCCGATAAACGCAAGTCCGCCGACACCCGAACTCATTCCGTAGACGCCTTGGAAGACAACAGGGTATGCGCCCAAAAGAGCATACATGAGGCCATAGACGAAGGAGATGTACAATGAGACCAGGAGCAGTATGGGTTCTTTGACCAACATGACAATGGGTCGGGCAAAATTGTTCCGCAGAAGCTCCTTCAAATCCACTTCCACTTCATCTTGCTTTGCGTGAATGCCCCAATTGCGAGTCTGTCGGCGTAGGGTGGCTGCTTTGCGGACAAGAATGACTGGAGCATATGTTTCCTCAAGGAACACAAAGACTAGGACAAACCCTAGGAACACCATGATTGCAGAGATGTACATTATCCACCGCCAACCCAGAGCGCTCATTGCAATGAAACCACCCACAAACGGTGCCGAAAAGGGCCCGATAAACACTGCCATGCAAAAAATCGACATGACGACACCTCGTTGTGTATTATTGAACAAATCTGCAAATACAGCGGGAACGACTGAGATGGGACTCGCCGAGAACAGGCCAGCGAAGAAACGACAGATCATGATGGTCTGTAGGTCTTTGGCAACTGCACAGGCGATGGTGAAGATGGCGCATCCGAAAAGTCCGAGGGATAGTGGCCAACGTCTACCGATCAGCTCTGATCCTGGTGCCCAAATTGTTGGCCCGGCTGCGAATCCAAGGACATAGAGTGTCACACCAAGTGAGCCAACTTCGGCGGATGTGTTGAACTCCTTGCTCAGGCCAGAAATAGCAGCCGAGAAGACCGCGCTGGTAAACGACCCGGCGAATGTACCATAACATAGGATGCAAACTAACATTATTCTGTCGAGGTATTAGCAACTGTATCTTACATAGGGAGGAACGGTAGTGAACATACCGCCTAGATGTAGACCAATTGTATGGATGTAAGGGATCATTGGCTCCGTCAAACTCGACGACATAGTCTTCAGAATCCGGGAGCAGAGGTGGGTAATCTTTGTTGGCACCCATGGGAAGCCATTTGTCACGGGGAGTAGGCCCTCTTGTAGAGCCTACGGTAGTTTTCTGTTGCAGTCGATATGTGTTGATACGGGTAAGCTCGAGAGGGTCGATTTCCTCAATTGTGTCGTCGGATCGATGGCTGCGAGAGTCAACGGGGAAGTCGATATCTGGCTCATATTTGTCTGGGTGTTGATTGAGACGCTCCATTGTATGCTATCATATCAAGGTTTGGGGAATAGGCCGAGAGTTGGTGTGGGAATATACAAGCCTCTGGCCGAGGAAGGCAATGCAGTATATGTCCCTCTTTCAGTCGGCCCATCAATCACATTTTTCCTTCCTAGTCTTCTAGGTCTTCGGCCTAATCCTTGATCCATTGTAAAATGGGCCCTGATTGTCGGAAAATGACCTCAACTAGGGCAAAAAGACACCTTTGAAAGATCCATACTTTTCCGCTGTGGCTTGAAGTGCTTTAGATATCCACTATCCAGTCACAGTGCTCTGGCAAGTGTAAATCATTGACCATTTAGAAGTCATGTCAGTCTCGGCTATAATCGGAGGTGTGGCTGACACCCGCTATGGAGTGGATTGCCGAGGACAACCGACCGTAGCCGTTATCAGTTTTGTCTCAGCGAAGGAAAACTCTTCATGCTTTTTTTATTTTCAGGCTGAAATATAATCAACAATGACACCATATTATAGCGGACCGATTCCGACACGCCTCGTGAAGCCGGTTTGGCGTGTTTCCCGTGCCGAAGCCGTCGGGGTGGAGTTCGGAACAGGCGTTTTGCTTTCCAAATCAACAAACAGGTCACTCTTTATTGGTATTCAATCAAGGCTCTATATTCGATAGAATCTAATGACTCCACTAATATAAGAATGTCAATTGTCAGGTCAAAGGCGAGAGTGTATTCAGCTCAGTAGTAATTTTATAGAAGTAAACAACATAGAGGATCAACGAAACAGACGATCTGCGTAATGGGGAGACGAAAAAAACATTATTGATTTGAGTTTCAGATTAATCAGACTTGGTACACCACTGTTAATTGCTCAAATAGAAGTTGAAGACCTGGGAGGGTAGCAATGCGCGCGCGGTGACCTTCCGTGCGAGAAGGTTCAATCGCTTTACAAGGCCTACACATTTCTGCCATAAGATAAGACTGCCTGCCGATCAGCAACTAAGAGGGAGTGGGATTATATTGCCTATTGGGCTGAGATTGGTGACCGGATAGTAAAAGCACTGACCGTTCGGGGCTGTCGAATAATATATTTTGTAGCGTCTCCCTCGATCAATATGATGCAGCGCCAGAATCTACCCACGGGACATAGAGGGGGACGATAAAAAAGCGGACGATATGAAGCATCATGAGCACCCAGAACCTAAGGCTACAAGGCCGGCAGGGTTCCGACGGAGATGGGCACCTTGCTGTGCCGGCTCAAGCCATATTCAATTTCGTACATTCAATTTCGTACTTTCTAGGATGAAACAGATCAGCTCCTATTCTTGGCTGGGCCATTATCGACGTAGACACCAATACCGAATTGATATCAATAGTTTCGACCCAGAGTGAAGCAATAAATCGAGACGCATACATGGGAACACTGCCCGGTTATGGAAGTTAGGTCGTCATTTCACTCTGCTGTTGAACACCAGGTAGATATTAATTCTAGTGACCAATTGAAATAAATGCGACTGCTCTTGTTATAGACTACTAGCCGAACACCATTTCTGCCGTGCGGATCATTCTAGTCACCTCCCCAGCCCTTCATAGCCTGTTTTGCAATAGTGTTTCTCTTGACTGTGGCATTCTTCAATGGCTTTGATGCTTTCTTTCCTTGTCATTTATGTGCCAAGACCTTCATGCCTCACTTATATTGACATTGCATGTTTGCTTGTGTTTTTCTGCATTACAAAGTCTTAAAAATAACAAAGTTTGTCGAGGTAGACGACAAGAAATTCTGGTCTAGCAAAGAAGAGGTCGACCGACTAAAATGCCAGAACCTAAGCCTCGTAAGTTACTTGGTATGTGTACGTTTAGCAGCTTATTAGATATTGTTGGATATGGTGGTCACCTGACCATCAGTCCGGTGCGGCAGGCACCAACCTTCCATAACTAGAATAGTCGGGCATTCTGCCCCCTAGGCAATACAACTCTCTCCCTCTGTCATCGCAGCACTACACTGTAGCCCAATCAGATATACCCCTGGCTGCCTGAATCTTCGGTACCGCCTTCCTAATTTGCACTTACAAGCCCCTTCCCGTGCCGCCCCCACCACTTCTATTTCCATCCAACCAGGACTACGTGTTGCAATGGCCCCTATCCGCCCGGCTGAATTTCGGGAGACTTGCGCCGAACGATCCGAAACACGCCTCAAGTGACCTTGTTGTGGTGGCCACGTGCCGATCACATGCCGTTGCCTGGTTTATCAGGCTTCACCTAGCTATTTAGTTAGCTAGATCTCGATCGTTTGTAGGAATCTAACCTTCTACATATCTCTCTCACCGCTCCAAGAGACCTTGTTCACCACCTCATGTTACTCCGGCGGTTGGCTAGTGGTCCCTGACATCAGACAGCAACAGCTTAATACCACAGCAATTGCAGTAGCTGTTCCAAATAGCAAATCCTCATCGTGGCCCCTCAGCGGAAGTATTGGACGAGCCAGCGGCAGCTTGGCCGCATCAGCAGTACTACGCTGCCTGGTAGATGCCGAAGATGACATCAACAATAGGTTGGAGCACCCGACATATATACAACTCGCGAAGTCTATATATGACTGTGTGAAGGGGATGGGATTGCTTGGCGACAGGCAGCAAATCCACTTCTCTGCGGAAAACGATGAATGTGAGATAAGCTATCAGCCCCCTCCCCCCCCGTCTGTGGATCCTCTGCGAGGGCATGGCGGAGGCCAGTTCAGTGGAGACTCGACGGCCACCGAAGGCTGGCGTGGAGTTCGTCGCCCTGAGGTCGCGATACGTATATTGTGGGGCTCTATGGAAATATCAAGTGGGATGCACCTAGACGAGGTCATGATTAACGTCTCCCCAGAGCGCCGCCAGATGTATGCTGACCTTGTGAAAGCTGCAACTGTGAAAACATATAGCCAGAAGACTGAAGCAGTGGTACAGCTAGCTCTGGGAAATTTGGTCTTCCCGAAGTTACACACTTTATACCTTGCTCTAGTCTTTCGCGGCTGGAGTACCGAAGAGAGTATCCGTACCCCGGATTTGAATATGCCAAATCTCCGGACACTTTACATCGAACATTGGCATGTGCCCATCTATCTATTTCCTTACCATTGGGACTATCTCACTGATCGGATTCCTATTCGTTTCACTAGCTATCCTCTTTTGCATAAAATAACTGACCGCTACTTGTGCACATCTAGAAGCTTTTTCTAAGGTTGTTGGATCTTCGAGTTGAAACAGACGTCGTATACCTGGACGACGCCATTGCCGCATTCAAGGCTATCGTCAAGGGTAAGGACAAGGTCATCTGAGGGAAGAAGCAGTTCTCTTCCAACCACCTACCCCGAGCCGCCTCGGTTTGCCTCTTGTGTCATTCAAGGAAAAATGGCAGTCCCTGCGTCAGGTTCCCCCATCGACATGCGCGGCAAGTAGCGAGGTGACTAGAGCTGGCGGACGGCGGCTCAAACGTCTACAGTATCTCGCCCAAGAGTACTTTGCCTCCAACCGCGGTGCCGACAATGCCGGTCCGAATATCGGCTTTCATAACTGTCTGAATCAAGTTCTCAAAGGAGTCAGCTACCCAAAAGAAAAGGTACAGCAATTGACAGAAATCACCGCGTATAGACTCGGAGCTATGTACGAGACCCGATTACTTGCGAGAATAGGGCTCCAGTTTCCGTCAATCTTCGATATTGACCCAGAGGACGCACTTGGAAACTTGCCCGAAAAACACTTGACGCTGAAAACATGGTCATTGCTTCTCTCGCACGACATCAATACAACTCCGTGCCTTACGTTTTTGCTCTTGAAAATGGAATGCCAAAAAGTACTTGTCCTAATTAGAACTAACCCCTGTAACTGCAGGGAGATCGCTGTGACAATAGTGCTCTACGCCGTTTTTCGAGGGGGTGAGCACTAGAACGGACGGGGACCCCCAAGAGTTGCCAGACATTATCCAGCACATATGTAGCGAATATGGTTCTGGATTGTGTGGGCTGAAGTAAACCGTTATATACAATAGCCAGTCGGTTCAACCATCTTGCTCTCACCGACGGGTCTATAAATCTGGTATCAATTAAAAAAAAAAAAACAAGAAACTCCAGTAAATATAAATACAACGCTATTGACTCAATCCGTTGCCCCGGGTCTGGCCACGCGGGAATTGGAAGAGGTTTATCTCTTCACCTGTCTATCACAATAGAATGTGTTCAGTCGCTCAGCACGAGATTGCCAAAACTTCAAATGCACAAATGAGGAAGCAAGTAAACGATGTCCACACGTGCTCGAAAAATCAACCACCAAGTATCATGAAAGCCATGAGTCCAATCCATCCGGCCACAAAAACAGCGGTCAGGATGCCAGCGCCCGCCCTGTCACCGGTTGTCACTGTAGTCGTTGTACTGGAAGCATCACTGTCACTTTCGCCTGCCGTTGGATTGCTGGTACTGTTTCCGCCAGTGGTCGAGGTCACCGGAGAAGTCTTGTTAAAATTGATCAGATTTGCCGTGAAGACTTTTGTCACACTGATCTCTTCCTCCATTCCCATCCACCCGTCCCATGTAGACTTATACCACCGGACACCACAAGTGCCATTACTGTGGCCCGTGCAGGATGCAGCGGCTGCCTTGGCCGATGTTTGGAGCTTCGCAATAATGGTGTCAAATGTCGATGGAACAAGGAGAGCAGTCAATGCCAACCATGTGGAAGTCAGTCCTTTGAAGAGGACCTCGTTATTATTGCAGGTTTCTGAAGGCTCGCAGTAATACTCTTCGATAACCCCACCGGTGAGGAAAAAGTTGTCAATTGTCGCGTTCAGTAGGCCATTTACTGCCGTCAGCCATTGAGCCTGGGTAGTACCGTTTGTCTGTAGGCAGTAAGAGGTTAGTACACGTACTTGAACAAAGACAACATGAATTTGAAAAGGGAATTTCTCACATAGTTGTACATATACGCTGCCCCCATCAGGTAAGTGCCGTAGTTATATGTCCATTGGGCATTTCCTTGGGTCGCACAATCATTACCAACATCGGTGGAATCGGCAACGTTCCATGTTGTGTTGCTTAGCAGAGGTGACGAGACAGACCAGTCCCAGATCTTGTTAGCCCACTGTAGATAGATTGCATCTCCGGTGTAGCGGGCTAGACGCGCAGATAACTGAAATAACCCCCCATTGGAGATAGAATTTTTCATTGTATATCCAGACTGGTAGGGCCAAATCTGCCACCGCAGACCACCGCCACAAGAGGTTGTATCCCATCTTTTGATCTGAGTATTGAAGACACCCTGAGCTAGAGAGAGCCAAGAGAATCCAGTCGACCGGTCCGGAAATGAGAATTCAGTGGCCGTCATAGCCGCTAGACCCCAGAACATTTGATCATCGTTCCCCTGGTAGATAACCGGCATTAGAGATTGTTGCCTTTTGAGACTCTGAAGATGCTCACCAGGTAAGAACTGTAGTTGCTTGGCATATAGTCCCCATCCGTACCTGATTGCCATTGCAATCCAACACTTAGTTCCTCGTTGTATGTCGTGTCGCCAGTAAAATGCCAGTACTCTAACAGGGCCATAAAAAGTGGAGCTCCTTCCCACCATTTGTCTGGAAAGGCTCCAGGAATTTGACCGGTCTCGTTGCCGTAATAATATTTCATCATAGCGTAAGTGGAGGTACTCGCGGCATCTTTGATCGACTCTGTTATGAAATCAAAAGTTAACTTCTCTGGTGATTGACATGGGCCGGGGAGGCGCGGAATCTCAACTCCACCACGTACGTTCATCGCTAATATCCAAATCGATTGCGCGTGCTACGCCGGAAAGGAGTAGTGCAGCGACAGCCCCTTCAAAGGGAGACACCCCAAGAAAGTGCATCTTATCAAGGTGGTGTATGGGAAACCATACAAGTTTCACCAGAGAGGGATATAGGAGATCAGAGAATAGCGTAGACCGATGTGCTCGAAAGTAGTCGCTGATACATCAAGGAATGAAAGAAAATATTTTCTCTAAAAATGGACACCACTGAGCAATCTTATTTCCATACTATCATTTTTAAATATAGAAGGGCATGCGTAATCCTCGGCGCTAGCGTCGTCAACTCATTTCATTGTGGAGTGCAAGGCCGGTTGTGGGGCCTAATGCCAAGCTTTTACAAGCTTTTTTGGTTTTGAGACATCGGAGATAATATGCAGAGCATAGAGTAGATCTGATATTCAATCTGGTTGACTCTGGTTGGCTTCATCTTTGGTCCGGTCGCTCATTCTCTAGCGGGATTCACACAAATCACGAGAGTGATTTTCGGACTCAAGCGTGCGTCTGATTGGTGAGTTTAGCCTGTTTGTGCTCGCTTCTCCACCGGTACCCTCGGTAGAAAACAACCCATAGAGCAGGACTGCCTAACACCCAAAGGCCAGCGATGAATGTACCTGTCCATCCAATGCCAATGCATTTGATTAGAGGCGATGCAATAGCCGTGGCTCCCGCACCCAATAGACAGCGAAATAGATTATTTGCCGCAGCAGCAGTGGCGGCGCTTTGATGATTGATATCTACAACCAAAGTACTCAAGGTGTTGAATGCACTTGTGGTTGTAAGACCGGTGAAGAACAACATCACAAGGGGGCCGGCCAGCGAAGTGCGATACTGCATCACCCAACCGTAAGCTAAGATACAAAGGCTAGCCATATAGATCAGTGGAAGAGTGATCGCCAAGCGTGCTCGTTCGACATTGAACTTTTCAATATCTTGCTGTCGGTTTTTGTGAATGACCATTCCCTGCAACTGTGCCTCGCGGCGAAAGTTCCAGTCCATGACTCGGCCAACTACCCAGCGGGAGCTTATGCTTCCGATGCCCATCGGAAGATAGCACAATCCAATTTCAATCGAGTTGAATCCAAATCGACTCGCCAACTGGGTCGACAAAGTGCTAATAACGGCCATGTACCCTGCGTACAAAAAGGATCCGTACAATAAAACCAACCCCATCTCTTTTTGTGTGGCTATCAAGAGCGCTGTAATTGGATTCGGGCGCTTCTTCAATCGGTGGACGGTGGAGTGGTCAGCAGTCCCTTGGTTGTCGTCGAATCGTGATGTTCGTACGAACAATGTCCACAGTGGGCGGTTCCACGAGGCTGGCGGCACCGACCCATTGCCCACAACAGCTCGACACGTCTCAGGGAGAACGATAAGGATCACCACCAAGCAAACAGCAGACATAATAACCAGGAACCAAAATATCGATCGCCACCCGAGGAAATGGTCCAACAGCCCACCGATAACGGGGCCAAGCGTCGGTCCTAGTGCAAGTCCAATTCCAGCGTATCCAATGTATTTCCCACGCTCAGCGCGGGTCGAGAGATCGGCTACAACAGCGCTTCCTAATGCGATGGTTCCACTGCTGCCCGAGGACTGCATACAGCGCAGAATCATCAGTGCCGTGAAGTTGTCTTGCAAAGCGAGGCCAATATTAGCTCCAAGATAAATGGCAAAAGCGATGATATATGCCGGACGGCGTCCATAGTTATCAGAAAAGCTGCCAATGAAAGAAGGTGCGAGTCCTTGGAATATCTAGAAATAATTAGCTTCATATCCTCCTTGTCTACCTCGGTGGACATTACCAAGTATGTGGTGATAGTCAAGTTGATCAGGGAGACAGAAACATTCATGTCGCTAGCCAAAGATGGGAGGGCCGGTAGATATATACTGCTGGAGAGAGGTGAAAAAAGGGCTGCAAAAGATCCCGCCATAATAACGAAAGTCTTCTCGCCATTTGGCAGGACACTGTAAAGAGGCACCAGTGCATCGCCGATCGGTTGAATTTCCTGATCAACTTCTGGTTTTTTGGAATGATTTAGATTCAAGGTGTGAGGATCCTCTCCATTGATCACATGTCCAACCTCACACAGGGGCGATGGACGCGGGTCGGTTGCACAAGAATCCGATTGCGCAGGCTGCATGTCCGAGAAGTCTATGGAGTAGATAGGAACGTCATTTTTCAGGGTCCACCCAGACTACTTGTATTTTTTCATGGCGGTCGCGCTTTATCTCAAGCTCGATTTTCTTTCCCATCTCAGGTTCAGCCTGGCGTTAACGGGCCGTAACCGGGGTTGCTGCCGGAGAATCGGATAAACAAGTGGGCCAGCTAAGGGGAGATTATGGTCGAGTCATGTGATGGATTTGGTGCCTGGGGCATCGATCTATATAGATGTGGAAAGTTGATAGGACCCATCCGTCTAACTAGGTTTAAGATTGACGGGATTTTCAATTTTAGGTTAGGGTAGCGCCAGGATTTGACAGCAGATATGCAGCATTGAATGATAGACGATGCTTACCTTGGAAGTTACCTATTGTATGAAAATTTCCGATGATATTAAGTCATTATAGGCACGTATGTTATTCTGCCTATTCTATGAGATCTCCGTCGACATTCCCGAATTTTTTAGTGGTGAGAACAGACTCTCTTTTCCCTTCCATTCTGACTCAGTTCGCAGGCACAGTTCTAGAAGCTTCTGGAGTCCGTGGAAGCTCTTTCCTCTGTCTTATTTGCCCATCTTGAAGATGTTTGCTTTTCAAGAAAGAGACATTGCATAGATTTAGATTCCTAGTGCCGATCCATTTAATCGAAGCATGTTGACCCAGCTCTGGTGATGAAGAAACAACATTAGAGCACAAGAAACTAGGAAAACAGGAAGTGATAGAATGAACATTTGATCAACAACCATATCTGTCCATAATAGCTCGGAATGACGGGTCCCATAAAAGCTGCGTTGCAGTAAGCCGTTTTTCTGGGGAATATTGAAACATTTTGCACATGATAGAGTTCATAAGTTCTCGTTCGACCGGATCGGCGTCAGGACGATATTTTTTAATTATTGAGGCCAGGTTATATTTCGGATCTGGCGTTTGGGATTGGTCATACCAGGAATCAACCTCCCCAGGGCGGATATAATGGCCCTTCCATTGTTCAGGTAGTGGACCTAAGCGTGCAACAAAAGTACCTACTATTCCATCCGGCGAAGTCCACCTATGGAAAGGTGGAAAGCGAAGATAGAGCACGGCAAATACAACCATATAACTCCACATATCGCAGGCAAGACTCGGATCTTTTCCATGAAGGCGTTCTGGGGAACAGTATTCTGAAGGGGGAAGCCTAGTTGAGTAACGCTATCGCCAAGCTTTTGCGCAACACCAAAGTCTCCGAGAAAGAATTCCTCGGTACGTAAGTTCTCAGGGACATCGACTTGCCGAACAAGCTCCCCCTTCTTCCAAAGGTCGACAAATGGTATGGTTTGCTTTAGTGGCCGACCGAGTGTCTCGTATTTCGCACTCCTATCAAGACCTCGGAGAGAAACCATCCCCCACATACAGTTTCTCTCATTCAAATCTATAAGTTATTTATTAGTATATAAAATAAAGTAAAGTAAATATAGCATAATAGAAATAGAGGGGAGGGATAGGCTGACTTACCACAGTGTACAATTTCTGCTTTATGTAGCTGTTCCAGGGCTTCTAGCAACTGCCGAGCAGCGGACATGCGACTAGCCATAGGAATTTTTCTCAACAGAATAAAATCAATGCATGGACCCATCAAAGGGTATACTAGAGCCCTATGTCTAGGTTCGTTTCCAGGGAGGAGAAAAGTCCCTAGATACATCACTAGATGAGAGGTATCCTCCACGTTCTGACTGATTTCATCCTGTATGCGGTATTCGTTTTCACCCCAGTCCCCTAAACACATGACTTTAAGGGCCACGTCTGTCTTGTCCTGAATGTCATAAGCCATCCAGACAGTAGAACCGCCACCAAAGCCGAGTTTATGTTCAATCAGATATCTCTCATTAAGCACTTCTCCAAGGCGAATGGGATAAAAAACTTCCGGTGTTGCTTTGACGTCGTACTTATGCCAGGGTTCTACGGCTTCTTCGAGATCAAGCTCCTCGTCTTCATTCCTCACGAAGTCGCCGAAATCAGTTGGGCCATCAGGCACCAATGGAATGCCAGTCATTTGAGAAGGGTGCCGATAGTGAACGTATCGGAGAGTAGGTCGTGAAATGTGATTGCAAGTTTGGGAAAGAACTGGAGAGGGTGGCAGGCCCAATTTCTACCTACACCGCCGTTAGAAGGTTGTTGAGCGGCACAGTGCAGAAGAGTTCTCAACGTTGAAGACCCTTTCTTACGTGTTGGTTCATGATTATTTTGAGGCTCCGGCCAAAACGCGTTAGACGACATTATATACGTAATACAGTAGTAAAAATGCAACTATCCATACCTACAGACCCCCTAGTTATTAGGAATCGGGAGAGAGTATCTAGGTATCCGTCAAGCCGCAGTTACAACCCTACTTAATGAATATTGTTTCGAGATAACAAAAGACGCTGAAAACTTCTTCATTACAAGTTAGATATTGCCTCTTAATCCAAATCCTATATGAGACCATTCATATGATTAATTCACTGCTTAAACCTTGAGGGTCACTTTCTCCACATTCCTTCCTGTGATTTCGACCACAGTACGCTGAATATCTCCTTCGAATGTAACAGTTAGCCGCAGTTTTTCTTTGGGCCAAAGAGTAACATAGTTGTCAGACCAATAAAGCGGCGCTATTTCCACACTGTCGAGTGCATTAATAGCATTCAGACGAATGAAAACTGCCGGTCCTTCAGATTGGTTTTCGAGCAGGACCTCAGCATGAGTCAAACCATCGTCTGTTGGCGACTCCAGGATGTGTAATGAACCATGCAAAGTAGCCGGCTTTAGTGTCTCCAGCTTGGTGTATTTGGCAAACTTAGTAACTGGGGTGGTGTACCAATCAGAGTTTGACCAGTCCAAGACATCCGTGGTAGGAGAGAGCCAGTATACATTGCGACTAAGGAAGCCTTCATATTTGGGATCACTGAGCGTGAGACGGAGGAAGCAGATATCTTTGGCCTTTTTAATTCCGTTAAGCGAAGTAACCACCTTCGAGGAATGAGGCGTTGTGTTGCTCTCCACTGTGGCCTTGGAGAGTTCTTCGCCATTTGAATCAATGAGATCTACCTTGATGTGCCGATTTCCGCTCTTTTCCCGCGAGTGGTTAATCAACCAAATATTCTGACTCTCATAATCATAAGCCACGTGTTCCACACGCGCTCCAACCTTGGTGCCAAAGTAGGCTGCCATAGGGCTGAGATAGTAATCGAACAACTGCCAATGCAAATTCGGCCAGGCGCTATTCAACATCCAATAAATAACCCCTGTGGCAGGTCGTGTCGCGTTTTGTTGCGTTCCGTAAGCTTCAAACTGGGATCGGGTGGCCTCATAATCTGCCATCTGACTTTTGATGATGTAGTCCTCCAGGCTAGATGGCTTTCCGTATCGAGCAAATAGAGCGTTGTTGTAGAGCTTCCGGTCGTAAAATTGCGAATCATAACGGGACATATGATATTGGTCTGCATCTGGTTCTTTCCAAAGTGTTTCCAGCTCGGCATCAGACATGAACTTTTTCAGGCTGCCAATCTCAGGGGTACCAACTCCGGGACCCAATTCAGATCCAAAGCCAGATGCCACTCCTTCTTCATTGTTGTACCAGTAATTCGGGGGTACCCAATCGTACGGGCCGTCCATCGTCATTCCGGATGGCCCAAGAGCTTCATGGTAACCACGCTTGCTGGCTGATGCAATGATTGGATTAGGCCAATCCATGACTTTGAGAGCGTCTAAATAGATCTCGGTGGCTTGGATATTGGGCCAGAAGTCTGAGCCCACTAAAAAGCCAAGCATCGAAGCATGGCTCTGCATCATCTCTGCCTCATGCAGCATTGCTGCCTTCGCAACCGGGTAGTCGGACTTCCGCCATTTGACACCATCGGCCTCGTCGTTGTACTGGTTTCTTTGTCAGTGTTCTAGCGTCGCGGTTAGACTATGAGAAGACTTACCTTCCATCCTTCCCATTTGTCACAACATTCCCATCCTGCCAGGACCATCAAGCCCATTTTATCTGCGAGATCATAAAGTTCTGGGTGCTCCTGTTTTCCCTCCAAGCGCATAGTATTGAGTCCCATATCTAACATATAGGCGAAAATCTTCTGTACCCTGTCAATATCGAATCGCAAGAAGATATCTGGCCCATACCCAGCTCCGATGACCTGGAAGGGCTTGCCATTGACAGCGAACTCGGTATCATTGGACTTATTTAATTTAGATGATACATGGCGAATCCCGAATTTTTGGCGAATTGAACTGTCTGACACTAACTTCTGGGGTTTCTGGATGATGGCGCTGGCATGTACTGTGTATAGAGGCTGCTCACCCCAAAGGGCAGGCCACCAAATATCAGGGTTCACAATTGACACGCTCATAGACACCGTCTTTTTCTCTTTTGACTTCAGGTCAAATGTCTCGCTAATTTGCACAGCTACCGAGCCATCTGGCCCTTCGACGGTGCCGTTGATCATTATTTGCTGACCACTAGATTCAATATTGCTCAAATCAGTCCGGAAGGTGATCTTCACCGGCTCAGAATTGGGGTAAGTAAAATTTGTGAGGATGCGGAATGACGACATCGAGACCGCTCCAGTCTGAGAAACCTCCACATTTCGCCAAACGCCGGTTCCATTGTCGGCTGGGTAGGGATTCCAGTCCACAAACCCCTGGGCAAAATCGCGAAGATAGTTGGTTGGGAACGCACAAACGAGAAGACAGTTAGCTCCTTCCTTAACATGATGGGTCAGTTCGTACTGATGGCCGCCATAGGAGCCTTGCTGCTCGTCACTTGACGCAACGAGCACGCCATTCAGATAGATGTCTGCCTTGGATGTGATTCCATGTGTCTTTAGGGTAAAATATTTGCCGGTGGATGGGTGCAGTGTGAACTCTTCTCGATAAAGCCAGGGTATGTCGAATGTGGAGGGATCAGCGAGAGATTCCATATTATCCGAGTAGAACAATTCTGTCTCGTTGTATACCTCGTTCTCAATAAGCCCAGCCATAACTGTGCCACGAGAACCAACCCGATACCATGATGAGATATCTTTTCCCGGCATGGATAGTACATCCATCCCTTCTGATACTTTGGTCGATGATTGGAGGTACCATCCCGGGATAGCAGCAATATCACCAGCAGTGGTAACAAGGGGTTCGGAGCCGGTAGTCGCTGCGCAAGCACATGCACTGAAAGCTAGTGAAATGCAAATTTTATGCATGTTCCTAAACATGATCACTTGGTTTTTCTGGTTCCTCAGACGCCAACAGTGATGTTGAGCTCGTATCGAAAGAATTTATGCGATGGGTTGTTCATAGAAAAGTTACGTTGTGTAACGCGATGGAAGGGCTATACGACCGTGGGATTGGGTTGTTTGTAGGTGTTCTCCGACAACTTTCTAGGCTAGGACTCCGGCAAACCTGTAATGTTCTCCGTTTCCGAATAAGGGAATTTCCTAACAGAGAAACCTGAAAATGATCGGAACTCATTTCTGAATTGACCATATTCCCTATTCTTCCAAAGTTAGTCCTCTTGGGATTTGTGGGGTGTGCTTTTTGTAGTGCAGATCTTTTGTTAATCTGAATCTGGAATAAAAAAGAATATTTTATGTTGCCAGATCAGGTGATCTCTGAATAGCTTCATTGTGGCAGATCAGGAAAAAAGGTTAGGTGATAAGCGGTGAGAAAGGCGGTCAAGTTTTACTATATCGTCTGATTTCAGGGGGCAGTTAATCCAACCTGTGGACCATTTTGTGATGGTTTATGCCTGATGTCTCGGGCATAAGGTTCAGGCATTCAATATCTTAAGGCGCCATGGCATTAAGGCATTAAGGCTTCAAGGTATCGAGGCTTCCAGGCGCCAATCGGTTTTCATCTCGTTTAGCAAATAATCACGTCAATTCTGATGCACATGGACAGACTCGCATGATTATATTCTGTTGAAAGAATTATGGCTAGAGGCTAGCTCGGGAAAGTATTCCTTGCAATGTACTCCGTACCTCAGGGGGTGGGTCCCCCTGTGGTATGCCGAGAACTCGTAGGCTCTAACCCCTGCGCTGTACAACTCCTTCAACATGGCTGGCATTTGCTTACAGCAGAGAAAGAGGAATACGATTGTACTCATTTAATTCACCAGTGCAAGAAAGGACAAGCCATAGAGCGTGGGCCCTACCGGACAGGGGCACAAGTTACAACTTCGGAATGCGTCAATTGTTGCATCTCGTTCGTTTGCGGCCCTAGACCGTCCTGTCTACGCCCTTTATCCACTGTCTCCTGTAATCACTCATACCCCCCTCGGTGATTCGCCAGTCTCCTCAATTGGATCAAATTGATCTTTTTGACAGCTGCTCTGGAATGCCACAGCGATCCCTTATCGTGGAGCGCCAATAAGGAAACCATGGAAATGAGACGTTGCGCGTTGCACTCTCCTCATCTTGTCATCCAATCTTGGATATAACTACAATGCAATTGTGGGCTCCTTCTTAATGCAGTCGGATGTTCAAGGTACGCTCATACAATTCCCCCTACAGGAGGTGCAAATGGCCTGGGGAACCACGCCTTGTTACCATGCCAGTGCTCCTAGACTGTTGGAATGTGGTTCTCACTCCACCCACAAATACATCTCTTTCTCATTTTTATTTTGGGGAGCTTGACGCTGGCTGGGCGGCTTTTCTTCGTCTCTCGGTATCCTCATCTCGCCAAAGACCAGGGTCAAGCTATACTATTCATCCTAACGAGACCTTGAGCCTCATGGTTGTATTATACCTCTTCTTTCAATAACTGCACTGACTTTTGGAGACGTGTCGCTACCAACCTTCGACGGCAATTTTGAGAAATCCAAGCTTAGCTGTTTTTCTTGAGACCAAGCTTGCAAGCAGTTTCTGTTACGCTTTCTATCAGACGAAGGCGTATATCAGTTGCCATGCGCGTGTTCAATTATGTGTCACAACCTTCGTGGATGGGTCTACTGGCTGTAGCTCTACTAGGCACTTCAACTGTGCAAGCAATAGAGCTGGATCTTGAGAATGGAGGTTAGTGTTCTACTCTGCCGCCCGTCTCTGTGCAACGACTAATTGAGGATCAAAGATTCTATCAAAAAAGCAGCCAAACAAGTCGCCAACAACATGATGAGTTACTACACTGGTATGAATCCCGGTGACAACCCGGGTAATTTGCCGGATCCTTACTACTGGTGGGAGGCCGGTGCAATGTTCAACGCCCTTATCGATTACTGGTTCTACACGGGCGATGATACTTGGAACAACATCACGATACAAGGTATGCTCTGGCAGGCGGGAGAGAACAAAGCATTCATGCCGGCCAACCAGAGTAAAACTGAAGGAAACGACGACCAGGTGTTTTGGGGCTTTGCTGCTATGACTGCAGCGGAGCGGAACTTCCCAAACCCACCAGCAGACCAACCCCAGTGGCTTGAAATGGCCCAGGCTGTCTTCAACACTCAAGCTCCCCGGTGGGACACTACTTCGTGTGGTGGTGGCTTGCGCTGGCAGATCTTTACATGGAACAACGGCTACAATTATAAGAACACCATCTCCACTGGCGGATTTTTCAATCTTGCGTCTCGCCTGGCAAAGTACACCAACAATCAAACGTACCACGATTGGGCTGAGAAGGCCTGGAACTGGACTGCCGAGGTTGGATTCATGACCCCCGAGTATCGCTTCTGGGATGGAGCTAGTGACCTCACTGAGTGCAAGCCAATCAACCAGATTGAATGGACTTACAACGCTGGAGTATACCTGCTTGGCGCAGCTAATATGTATAATTTGGTGAGTGAACTCGACCTGATGAGGCCTTCCGATACTACATTATCCAATCTAATGCTATGAACAGACCGAAGATCCTAAGTGGAAAGATCGCACCGAGAGGATCATCAATTCTTCCAGTGTTTTCTTCTCTCATGACCCACCCGACGTGATGTACGAGAGAGCCTGCGAAACTGTCAATACTTGCATGGTCGACCAGCGTTCTTTCAAAGGATATTTGTCCCGCTGGATGGCTCAAACTGCCCAGATGGCTCCTTTCACATACGATATAGTCATGAAACGGCTAAAAGCCTCTGCTCAGGCCGCTGCCAAGACTTGTACCGGTGGTATCAATAAGAATGTGTGTGGTATGAAGTGGACAGCGCAAAAGTGGGATAAGACGAAAGACTTCGGTCAGCAGATGGCTGCCCTTGAGGTCATTCAAGCGAATCTGATCACGCATGTGGCAGCCCCAGTCACAAACGATGACGGTGGAACGAGTAAAGGGAACCCGAATGCAGGTGATAAGCCCCCAAAGGCAATCCCGCCCGGTCTCGACTACGACATAACTTCAGGCGACAAGGCTGGTGCAGGTATTTTGACCGTGCTGTTTATCCTTGCCATTGGCGGTTCGACTGGATGGCTGATTTGGGATTGAACTTGATATATTTCTCTTAACATTTCTTTTGCCTCTTTTTTTCGTCCTTGTTCGTTTATTTCGGTGTCGACATAGATTTCGCGGCTCTCTAATCCCCTTATATTAATTCCTAGACGATGAGGTTAGTAGCATTTTGTGAATAATTTTTGGAATCCAACATATCATCATTCTTGCTCTGAATTGTCCCGTTCTATCTCCCCAGATTTGCCGAATTCCGGTGCATCTGCATCCCCGCATACATATGTAGCCGTCTTACCGCCCCCATACCTGGACCAGGTATGGGTCTGTCCCACATAACGAGAGTTTCCCACAAAACGAGAGATTTTTCTTTTTACACCAACTTCCTACCAATTTTGTTACCACAAAACGATGTCGAAAAAAGCCAAATATTCAGAGGATGAAATGCAACTGGCTATCAAAGCCTACCATGAAAGAAAAAAGCCAAAAATCGCCCTATTAGCGCGAGAATTCTCAGTTCCTTATAAAACCCTCTATATACGTCTCTACAGTCGCTAGACTCATTCCGACTATACCGACCTTTCTAAAACCCTTAGTCTAATTCAAGAAAAGGTATTGGTTAGCTAGATCAAATTGCTAGATACTAATTATATTCAACCTTCCCCTAAAGAGATTGAAGAGACTGTAAATCGGCTTTTAGTACGCGCGGGTTATAAAGTTACCGTTAGTCATAACTAGGTATATCGCTTTCTTTGACGACTACCCCCTAATATCAAATATCTTACGTAAAAACCTAAGGAAAAGGTATATATAGAAAGTAAAAATATAGAGAGTCTTTCTCTCTGGTTTTACTACTTCTTAAAGGTTATAGAAGAATATAAAATCCTCCCTTATAAGATCTATAATTAGGATAAGACTAGCTACTAAATTGGCTAGGGAAAGCTATATAAAGTTATTTCTTCTAGAATAACTAGTTATATTACTACTAGTAGTCTTACTGAATTAATTACTAGTATTAAATGTATTACCGCTGACAGTTAGGTGATACTACTGTGGTTTTTAGTTAAAGGAAGCCGGTAGATAGAAGAGTGGTATACTAATATTATAATTCCCGATTTTCATATTAAACCTACCCCTAAGGGGTAGATTAATAATAAAACTACTTTCGAATAGCTTTATTCTTTCTATAAAGCTATAAAAGATTAGGTTAAATAGAATAGGCCCCAGGTTCTTCTTATAGATAACTATCTATCCTATATAATACTTAAATTTACTACTTTTTATACCGACAAAAACATTATTCTAATTTGGTTTTTACCCTATATAACCCATCTATACCAATGTGAGACCCCTAGGTATAGAATGCCTAAGGGAATGCTGTATGTAATAGAGGATCGGGAAATAGAGATAGTGATATATATAGGGTATATTAGAACTAATAGCTACTTCTCTAAAGAAGCAGTATATAAGGATAATATATAGGTTTATAGGTTATATAACCTAAGGAGGCTATGTAGGTAGTATATATTACTCCTACCTAGTCTGCAGTCCCCTATATACCTAGGATAGGTACTCTATACCCTATAATAGGGCTTATACCTTAGGTATTAGCCTTCTTAATACTAGGGTCCTAATAATATCCCCCTCCTTATAGTATATAGTCCCTATAGGCTCGGATAGGAGAAGAATAAAGGAATAGCTTAGTCTATTAAAACCTATATATCTAAAAAACCTTATAGTAAGGGTAAAAAGGTATATAGGGAAAGGTATCTAGCCTTAATATTCTAAAAATATAAAAAATAATATAATAAAAGTATAAATAGAGGGTATAGTATATATAATAAGGTCTATATATAGTATAGTTATATAACTATACTAAGAAATTAGGTAGCTATAGTCTCTAATACCTATAAACTTAGGTATCTTATATATATAAGGTTTAGCTAAGTAGTTATTTATTAGTAAGAGAATATAGTTAGGATAAAAGGGGATACTATACCTATATATACCTAAGGTATACCCTAGTATCTTCTTCTCTTCTTTAATCTCTTATCTTACTTAATCTATAAGTATACCTAGTTCATTTTTTTATTAAAATTCTATTAATTTAATAGTATTTCTATTAGGATAAAACTATTCTAATTAGGATACTACTATTAGTTAGTAGATATAGTAGATATATTTAAATTTAGTGGTATTATATTCTATATAATATATTAAGAAATTTTAATATTATATCTACCCCTTCCTTATAGGAAATGGCCTTATTTTTAGGTTTATATACTAACTATATTTATAGAATAGTAATAGTATATTATTATCCTATACTACCCTCCTCTAAGGAGGATAAAACTCTATATCTATAGGTATAGTACTATTATATATTAGGCTATTAGCCTATAACTCTACTACCTTATCTAATAATCCCTAAGCTTATTAAAGAACTACTACCTTACTAGTAGTACTTTTTCTAGCTATAAAGCTACCTAAACTATAAGTATAAGACCCTTATAGGTTATATTAAATATACTTACTATACTTTAGTAAAGTATAGTTATATCCCTATAAATTAGCTATATTATTATAGGGAGGAATCTATTACTAATAATAATATAGCTTCCTATTAAGGTTTAGCCTACTACTTATATTACTCTTAATATATTACCTATATCTACTTATATACCCTAAGTATATATTATTAAGTAGAGTATTAAGCGCTTAACCTATATAGCTAATAAGGCTAAAAAGGCTATTACTATTATAGAAGCTATAGAGGTTATAGTAATTACTAAAGTTATTATAGCCCTAGAAGTTATAAAAAATATAAGGGATATCTCTAAAGTTAAAGAATTCTTTAATATTCCTACTAATTTAATAGAGGAAAGTATGGTTCCTAATATAGGTATATCTAGTAATACTTTATTTATCCCTATAAACTTAACCCCTACCTCTTAGGATACCCTAATTATAGAGTTTATTTTACTACTCTATAGTATTTTTAATACTATCCTATTAGTATTTAAATCTAGTTAGATATACTAACCTTACTTATACCTATATATAAATCCTATTAAATATAGGGAATATAGTACTAATTTTTAATTTATAATTAAAGCTTCTTATATTTTAAGTATATATTTTTAGCCCTTATCTTTTTTAGTATCTTTATAGCTATATTTAACTTAGCCTTATAGTTATTAAGGGCCTTAGTCTCTTTAACTATAGACTGCGGTTCCTAGGTTACTTTAATATTATTATAGCTATACTACTTAACTAAGTAGGACTTATTCTTTTTACCTTAATAGAATAGGATATATTTAATCTTATACTCTACCTAATTATTAATCTTAATTAGTTTAGGAGTATTATTATTAGTTAGAGTATTACTATAATATAATTCTAATACTAATATATAGTATATTAGGTATAGTAATCTAAAATAGGGAGATAGATATAACTTATATACTTATATACCGACCTTCTTAAGAATTAGAAATAGACCTAGTATTTTATAATCTAGTTTCTTACTTAGCCTATCTATTTCTATATTCTTACTCTTAAGATATACCTAATTACTAACCTTAAAGGATTTATCTATATAGTATTTATCTATATAGTACTTTATCGACTCTTTTACCTTAGTAAATCGCTCTTTTATAAAATCCCTTATTTCTTAGATTTCTTATACCCTTTATATAGTATCTATATAGTATTCCTTAGGGTATTCTTTAATACTATCTTAGATAGATAGGTTATAACCTATTAATACTTTATATAGTAACTTTCTAGTTATACTATAAGTTATTATATTATATATAAATACTATAATAGGTAGCTAGTATACCTAGTTATCTTATTCTTAGTTAATATATAATTAAAGGAAATACTTTAATACCTAATTTTAGTATTTAGTCTAACTATTAGTTTATAGGTAGAATATAGTAGATAACTAGTACTTAACTATAAGGAGAAAATAAAAGGTTAATTAGAATTAGCTAGTAAATAGACTACCCCTATTACTTACTAGGTTCTCTAATATACTAAAGATTAGAATTATATATTTATATAATAAATCTACTAACTTAGGTATATTAATTTCTTTTATATAAGGAAGATAAAGGATATATTTTATAAATATATCTACTAAGATAAATACTATATTATATACCTTACTATTCTACTATAATAGAGGTATTCTAATAATAAAATCTATACTAAGCTACTTACTAGGCCTCTTAGGTACTAATAGTAGCTATAATAATCTATATAGCTTATACCTATAAACTAAATTATATTAATAACTTATATAATTATATATATACTCCCTTATATCCTTTATAATTCTATACTAATAGAACTTATACTAGATAGCTTTAAGGGTATATTTACTAGTATAATAGCTTCCCTAGGGGTTATTATAGTATATCTTTATAATTTTATATAAGATTATAGTCTCTCTTAGGATATAAATATAGTTATTAAACCTAAGTAGCCTATCTAGTATTAATCCCTAGGGTATATTACTTAGCTTTTATTTACTAATACTATCTTCCTCTATTTTTATATAGATATCCTATAATATTAGATTATAATCCTATATTATATAGAGTAATTCTATTATAGAGTTCTTTAGTATTAGTATATATACTATTTTACCTTAAAAAGCTCTTATAGCTATTAGGTATAGTACTAAGAGGTCTAGAATTCCTATATTACTAGTAATATAATACTTATCTATAATACTTATATTATAGGCTTTATATACTATATTATTATAGTCCTCTACTATACTATATAGATAATTAGATTTAAGTACTAATATTATATTAGCTACCCTTATAAAGATATATAATTTTAGGTCTAGTATTACTATAATCCTATATACTAGGGTAGATTATAACCTTTATACTACTTCTTTATTATTACTAAGACTCTTTTATAGCTTTTCTTAAAGAGTAGGTATTAGAGTGTGGCAGAACTAGGCACAATGCTTTGTAAGGCACTCTCGAGGGGTCAAATGCGTAGTGTTTAAACAGATAAACAGCTAGGCAGTCAAGTGTCAGGTCAAAGATGAGATCAAAGTGTATATCATGGGATGAAATAGTCAATTTGTCTAACTAACATTCAGTACAATTTGGGGCTTTCTTTATAGTAATCAAATATCGCGGATAACTCGGTAAATCAAAGATCAGATGATTCATGACCTTTCTTTAGATGAATCATGACTTTCTTTAGATGTAATAAAGTAAGCAATCAATGACATCATCAATTACATCATTAAAACAGGAATACATATATTCCAATATACCCCTTTAGATTTTGACCTTAGTCAAAAGCTGTAAATATGGGATAAAACAGGAAGAACAGATTAAACATTGTCGAATTCGGTTACCCGATTAGGCAATCGTCTTAAATTCAGCTGATTCAAGAATTTGAGGTATTTTTGCGATGAAAGGTATTTTGTTAATCTATCGGCAATCATAGTGTTTGTCGGAATCTATTGGAGATATATATCTCTATTTCTTACCTTTTCTCACAACTAATGTTTATTAATATCTACGTGACGTAGTTTCGTCTGATATAGCGAATTGGATTTTATTATTAGATTAATTGTCTACTTATTATCATATAATAGTATCAGATCGTATTAGGCGTTAAATTTAATTGAATTAAGTAGTCTTTTTATCTAAAGAAGGTATTTAGCTACTTTAGAAAGTGCAACTAATTTAGCTTCTGTT